TTACCCTCTGTCGTTCAGCCCTCTCGACCAGATCTTTTGGTGTCAATCCACGGATTTGCTCGCGGTTCATTCCGACCTTGACGATGACCTCTCGGTCCTCGCGAAGTTCCATTTCCGGTACTCCTGGAGACGATGTGCCGCCGCTCCGGGTGACAGGAGCCGCAGCCGTAGCCAAGTCGCGCTGCCATTCTTTGGCCCGGAAGTTGCGCCACGCTGCTGCAGAGTTCGCCGCGGGGGTAGATAGTGCCGTCGATAATGTGTTGGTTGTCTTTTCAATGGTATTAATTCGCTGGTTCAGGCGTTCGGTGCCGGCGTTGATCTTGGTCAGCGCCTCAAGCACCTTGGCCATCTCCTGACCGTCTCCCCGTTGGGCGTTTAGTGCGTACTGGCGGACGGCACGAATATATCCAGTGACGTACCGGTCCTCCGTGCCATTGTTCTCGATGTGGTTAAGCACCCGGCGGGCCCCTTCCGCGATGTCATCCATGGATCGGGGCGGATCCGCGAGGGCCGTGCTTTTTGGTGTTCCTCTCCTGGCAGGGGGCAAAATCTGTGCGTTCGCACCCGTCCCAACCATCGCTGCCATCTCCCCTATGAAAAGGGTATCAGGCCGTAGCGCTTGAGGTTACGATTACGATGAACTAATTCACGAGGCCGCGAGACCTCTGATTGGCTGGATATTTCAAGAAAACGTTTTTGCCAAGAAAGAGTTGTTCTCCTCACGAAATTTGATGTAATTTACCTTCATATAGAAAGTCCAGCATTGAAAATTGTAGGTTTCCCTAAATTGAGTAAGTTCCAGGCTCTTGGTGGTTGATTCTGGTCGGAGTGATCGTTAATGAACTGTGTGGAGTGAGAAATATATATTTTGATCTGGCGACTATACCAGCACCTTCCCAGTCATTTTTCTGTTCATCCCCGCGGTGGCAACTTAGAAGTTGCTTTGGGTAGTCTACACTGTTGAAAGTACTTATTGTACTTTTTGCTACACTTTACTACTAATATTTTCTATTAAAGGCTTTAGAAATGTGCTACCTGCTGAGTATAAAGGACGTTAACGCAAATTCGGAGAATCCAGTCATTCTGTGGGGCGGACAGAGGTGCCTGATGTGGTTTAAGCGGTTCTTGCGGTGCTTTTTGCGTGTAGCGGAGGTTCGTTGTGCGGTCGGTCCTACGCGGTCCCATAAGGTTTGGCGCGGTTCGAACCTCACAGAACCTCGATAAAGTGGGACTGACTATCCAATCACAACAAGGACTGGAAATAGGTATATCCATATTCAGCTTTTTCTAGTTTACGCTGGTACCCGATTCCGCTGGAACTTGTTTATTTCTCTTATTTATAACCTGAAAATTTCCAGGAGGTCTATTCTACGCCCTCTCCCTCTCTGATCTCGGCTCTATGAGAAAATATGTCACAGAGCCAGGACTCTCAGTTCTCTGACAACTATCCGTCTTCGATTTTCGGGGATAATCCTGTGGATAGCCTCACGTTCCTTTCATCGGACGATTTACAGCCATTCACTCCTGATACTTTATATGGCCAGCACACGCCGAGTTCTACGCCCAACGTTGGTTTCGCCCGGCCAGCGCTTCCGCCCCCCATCCCCGAGACACTCGAGCACGTCGGTCCTCGAAAGAAGAAGACCTACGTCCTCTGGACAGAGATGGTAAATGACGAATTCGTTGCATGGTGGTTAAAGACAGAGTATGGAAGTCAGACGAAACGGAATATTTTCGAGAGTAAGCACCAGGCAGAATGTTGGGAGCATTTTCACCAGGTAGCTACTATTCAAGATGGATCCCCGAAGGTTATGTGTAAAACATGCGACCATATCCTTAGCCATCCTGCGGACCGTCATCGTGGGACATCCTCTATGAATAAGCACTATTCACAAGGGGTAAATTGTCGGAAATCAGCGCCTCGTTCGCAGGATATCAGAAGGCTAATACATAATGGGGTACGTGGAACTATCTATATCTCCTCTCAATCCCCACTAAGATAATTAAATTTGCTTAGGCTAAGCCAGCCCCTCAAAAAGGCACCTTTACCCAACAAGCTGAATAGAGAGGGTTATTACCTTCATGACTGCTTCACGATTACCATTCCAGCTTGTTGAGCATCCACAATTTCGCGCCCTAATTGAGATGGCCCGCCTTGCTCCATCCTTTCCGGAAATACCATCTGCATACATGGTTCGCCGTCAACTTCAAGAATTAGTTGAAGAACGACAACATACTCTTCTTCGGATGCTTCCTATGGATGCTAAACTTTCCATCGCACTGGATTGCTGGACTTCGCCCTTTCGGCAGGCCTTTATGGCAGTAACAGCCTACTTCCTCGATAAAGATTGGAATTATCGTGAGATATTACTTGGCTTCGAACCGCTGCATGGGGCGCAAACTGGATCTTATCTGAGTACTGTTCTGCTGGAACTACTACAAAAACATGAGATTCAAGACAGGGTCTTGACGGTTACCACAGATAATGCGTCTAATAACTCAACGTTGATGGATAGCATCCGGGGGACACTTCAATCACTTGAACTACCCCATCATGTGCCAATCATTCGTATGCCATGCATCGCACATGTCATTCAACTCAGCCTCAAAGAGCTGCTTGGTCAGATGGAAGTAAATCCAAAGAACGAAAGAGAAGAGATGAAATGGACCAAGAGGGATATTGGGGCCCGTCAAGGGAACCGCGGAATCGTGCAGACTCTCTCTAAGGTAAGTTTAAATGCTTTCTAATGGTATCACTACTAATTAATCACTAGATTCGACGACTTGCGATCTTCGTCAACAAAAGCCCCCAACGCCGTGAGAATTTCTCAGATCTTCAAGCCAAGGAACCAAAGCTTGTTCCAATTCAAGATGTTCGGACACGTTGGAGTTCAACATACTTGATGCTCCGGCGTGCAAAACGCCTACAGTCTGTTCTCAACGACTTCTGCTCGCAATACGACAACCAAGAGCTGCAACCAAGCCATGATGAATGGCGACAAATCGACTATCTTCTTTCAATCACGCAACCTTTCTTTACCTTCACTACGTCCCTTTCCAAGACCAAGAAAATCACCATCCACAGTGTCTTCGCAATCTACCACACCCTTTTCTCTCATCTAGAGAAGTCTAGAGCTCAACTTGCGCGAAAGATGGTCAACTGGAAGAAAGTGATACTATCTGCCATTCACGCGGCAAGGTTGAAGCTCTCGGAGTACTACAAACTGACAACTGGTATTGATAGTGATCTCTATGCAATTGGTACGAACCTGGCGCCACAAAATAAGCTTGAATTCTTTTCTGGCAAGGACTGGGAACCACACTGGCGCGTCCGGTACCACAAGAGCTTAGAGAATTATTTGGTACCCTACCAGCAGCGCTATTCAGTGACGCAGTCCATATCGAGTAGCAACACCTTGATAGGGGGGATCTCTGATGTTGATATCCTCGTGACCTCGACCGCATCTCTCCGGCCACAGACGAACGCTCATGACGAGCTTTCGCGCTATCTCGGAAGTAGTAGGCTATTTCACCCAACCTTTTGTCTCAAACCTCTCTTGCTGATCGTTATAGGTACCCAACTAGTGAACCCACGGATTTACTGGAAGGAGCATCAGCAGGAGTTTCCCATACTCGCAAGCCTAGCACGCGATGTTCTCACAACTCCTGCCAGTGGTTCCGGCGTTGAGCGGTTATTCAACTCTGCTCGCGATATTTGTCACTACCGCCGAGGCTCGCTGAAATCCAAAACAATCCAGGATCTTATGTTGTTTATGTGTACAACAAAGTTTGATATGGAATCTGAACAGCTTTCCTTGATGGATGATTATCTCACCACCCAAGAGACGCAAACAGCGAAAGAGGAAAAAGATGCTCGTAACGGAGAGTGTGAATTTAATCTCATCAGTGACAGCGAAGATGAGCCTTCAGCAGTCATATCTCAAGCCGTCCAACCGGTCAGTGAGCATGCGCTTGGTAAAAGACCAAGGGCAGAAAACACCACAGAAGACGAAGAGCATGTGATTGAACTAGATGAAGAGTATGAAGTTCCTCTGCCTGACAATATCCATACACAGGGAGAGAGTGGTACTCAGAGGCGTTCATCAGGACGGCTTCCAAAGCGTTCAAGGCGAGATGAAGGTTTTGTGTATGAAAAGCCATAAAGTTAGCAGAATTAAGGATTTTGAATGGAATATTTGATTTGACCTTTGAACTATTCCGTAAGCGAAATACTCAAAATTACAATCAAAATATGCACAAAATATGCATGTCACGGAATTTCTTAAGTTTGTTATGTTTGTGGAACCTCCGGTTCGAACCGCACCTCCGCGGTTCGGGTCCAAAGATATCAGAACTGCACCGTGGTTCCAAAGTATAACACCAAGAACCGCACCTCCGAGGTGCGGTGCGGTTCAGAACCGCGGTTCTCGAGGTTCCATTACGAGGCCTATCCATTTGTCTGAAGATATGGTCACGGAAGCTTTCATATTCTGGACCTAAGGCATGGAGGAAAAAGAAGGTTCGTTCAATCTCAGAAGTGACACATGCGGGGTCGAGTAAAAGTTTCTCGGCATGGATCTTTCTGATCTCGGCCCCAAGGGCTTGTGCACTCCCACATTTTGCTCGGGTAAGTGACATGTACCTCCTCTGAAGATTGACGTATGTTCCTGAACCTTCCGGCTTGAAGTTGTCTTTCACCGCTTTGATTAGAGTTTGGACTCGAGTGATTTCGAAGGCGTTTATCCGCTGAGCCGCGTTGTGGGTCAGCTTTGCCGCGATCATTGGCGAGTAAAATGTCTGGCGGTGAGACCATTGCTGCGCTCCCTCCTCTTCCAGAGGTATGATCGTTTCATCTTTAGCCACAGGAGATATTCGAAGAAACTCCTTGACTTTCTGGTTCCACTGCGACCAGTCGTTGGCATTATCGAGAGTTGGTATAGCATGGTAAAATGAGCTCAAGCCTATTTGTTCAAATTTATTCGAATCCATCGTGGTGGTATTCAAGGCTCTTCGGTGCTAAAGAATTCGGCACTTGACGAGCCACTTGAGCGAATTGAGTGGACAGAAGGCGTGTAGTCCGATAGTTCAGGAGATCGAGGCTCCAGACCAAATAGTTCGAGACTCGAGGCCTCACTTGGTTGAGTAGAGTTGACGGAGTGAGAATATTCCGACGAGCCTGGGGTAGGTGTATGCGAAAGGGGAACGTATTCACTGTCCAGTAGGTCGTATGGCTTGAGATGATCGCTATACGATTCGAAGAAGTGAGGAAAATGGACGCGGTCGACCATATATTGTGGCTTTCGCTCTGCGAAAGATGTCGGTCTGTTTGGTCGGAGATTGTACCGGTTTGAGGTATTGCTATTTGAGGTCGACGGTGTAAGTTCGATCTCGATATTTGTGGAGCTAGGGTGAATTGGTCCCCGTTCCGGATTTGAGAACTCTGGCTGCGTTTGACTTGGAGAGTTACGTCCTGTGGTGCGCAGGGACTCGGCAATGACGGGCACAGCAGAGAGCGCCCGGCGTGTGCGCTCTTCCGGAGGTAAATGCCTATAGGCCGCGCCAACTGCGTGTTGGGAAAGTAGTGGAAAGTTCACCTTTTGGATTTTTGAAAAGGGCCAATGACGGATGCATCGAAGATAGCACACCAGATTGAGCTCCTTGTCAGTCCATTGGTTATATGGTCCACGCTTTCTTTTCATAAGTTAGAATAGCGGATTGTCCCCCTTTTTGAGAAGATCAGGGATTTTTAGGGGAAAATTAGCATCTCAGCATGCTATAGGGGACAGGTTATTTCATCTGTCCGGGTAATGTGATACGTCTGGAGCGGTGCGATATCTGTAGCTGCGATGCGTCTGTTGTCTGTTGTGAGACATAACGGTTGACTATGATTGGTTTCACAAAAATATAGCGGTGTGATTTTTGCAAGGATTCGTAAGACGAGTCCGCACAATTCATTTTTCTCTTCATCGTTGGAAAATGTTCTCTTCGTTGAAGTACTAAATGAGCAATTTCAATTCAGTCAATAGATGAAGCTATCACTTGATGGGGAAACTTAGGAGTAAGAAGCGATCTTCAATTCGAGGTGAGCAGTGCCAGGCTCATAACCTGTTGATTATTAAGTGATGCTTCAGTGTTCGTGTTATTGAGGAGAGTTGATTGTATGTTGTGTTACATGTTATCTAAGATACAAGTAGGCTGGTGAACAGGTATATATGTATGCACGTGATCCCAGCCTCATTATTATCTCAGCAACCGGGATATTTCAACAGTAAGTTATGCTTATTGTTGGTTTATTAAGTGATGCTTCAATGATCATAATATTGAGGGGAGTTAATTGTGTGTTGTATTACTTAGATACAAGTGAAGTGAAAGGTAGGTCAATGTATGCAAGTGAATCCAGCCTCATTATCTCAGCAATCGGGATATTCCAACAGATATCGCCACTCACGATATCGTCAAATTTGAAGCCCGCCGATATCGTACCGGCAATCGGCATCGGCAAATTCAAAAGCAGCCGATATCGTATCGTCTGTCGATATCGTATCGTCAATATCGGTATATCGGCAATATCGTCAACAGCCCTATACTTGTCCAGGACTAGATCATCATAGAAAAGGTATGCTATGCAAGCTGAAGAATCGTATCTCTGACAGCAGGACGATCCGGCCCGATACCGAAACTCGCCATTGGGAGTGACTCCCTGTCGCCATAGCTCTATAAGAAGAAAGTCCAGACCATCGACAGCGGGCCAATGCCTAGCCGAGGTTGAATGGACAAGGATCAAAAGTATTGTCGGTGAAGATTTTTCATTTCTGTATATATCAAGAACAGCTGTGATCGACAGTTTTTAGCCTGAAGAATGGAGAAGATGCGGGCATTGGACGATCGTCTAAATATCTATCTTCAGATAGGGGAAATATGTACTGCGCTCAGCCAGCCACTCGTATGAAGTGAAGGCGTCAACTTGAGCAAATGGAGATTAAATCGGTACCGTGATCAACCAAAACATTGATAAGAAATGCGGAGAAAGGGATTTCCAATTGGGTTCGAGCTTATTGCTAATGCTACTGTAACATCCGGATGATTCGTCATTCCCGTCCTATCCAGAGACCCTGAAAAAGCTACAGTGCTTACTTGTTGGGAAAGCCAAACTCAACGGTGTGCTTGGCAGTCCGCCTTACCTGACAAAGAAGAGATCGGAGTGAAGTCCGTTGCTCCTTTGGGAAACTCGCATCGGTTGCAGAAACGGAAATTCCCGACTCACACGTGCTTCCGCCGAGAGATGGCAAGAAACGGGACAATGATCACATTTCTAATACGTCGAGTAGCTTCTAATCTATCTTAAATTGAATGGGCAAAGACCTCTTGTGCCTCGGCGAACTCCCGTAGAATGATGTCCCTCCTCTCGGGGGAGCGGAGTCGAATGGCACAGCCGTAGTCTTTAGGGCAATGAAGGATACCTTTACTAGCACCAGAATGGGCCGAGATGTCATTGTTGCTGCCTGGCGGTTCGCCAACTCCGAAAGCCCAAAGTAGCTTGGACACGCCAATAATTAGTTTTCTTTCCGCTATGTGGATACCCGGACAGATGCGCCGACCCGCCCCGTTGCCAAGATGATCATGTGACTACTGTCGTGAGTGTTCTTCCGGGTTTCAATTTTTGAAATTTCCCACACAAAAAGTATTGAGTTGAGCTACTTAGCATTGCCACATCATGGACTAAACTCGGACCTAACAGAATGCTAAGTTGATGCCACGCTACCTTTTCTTTTTCGAGTATGACGTTCACCATTCAACTTTGTAACGCAATATCCAATCATACTCGATCCTTATCATTCTTATGGGCATCAATTCAATTGATGCCCATCTGAGTTGATTTAAAATATCAAACCGAGGCACCGCGAAATGTACTTATTCTATCGACCCCTGAAAGTAGATAAGGCCTTTCTGTGACGCGGACTGGCGCACCAGTATGGAGACCATCACTGCTCAAGTTTCCCAACTTGGATTATTTTCATCCTCATTGAATTCCTACAGCGAGGCTTTCCACAATATCATTTCTTACATCCCTCAGATTCGACGTAAACCACTTTCGGATGCAGAGATTTCTGTCACGAAATCATTTGCTGAGCCATTAAAAACAACTCTTTCTTGGTAAAAACGTTTTCTGGGAATATCTAGCCAACCGGAGGTCGCGAGGCCTCGAGAATTAGTTCACCGTAGTCGTAACTTCAAGCGCTTCCATCTGATACCCGCTTTGTAAGGGTGATGGCAGCGGTGATGGCGACTGGCGCGAATGCACAGAATTTGCCCCCGATCAGGAGAGGAACATCAAAAAACACGGCCCTCGCGGACCCGCCCCGATCCATGGACGACATCGCGGAGGGGGCCCGCAGGGTGCTAAACCACATCGAAAACAATGGCTCAGAGGATCGATATGTCACTGGATATATTCGAGCTGTCCGCCAGTACGCACTCAACGCCCAACGGGGCGACGGCCAGGGAATGGCCAAGGTGCTGGAGGCGCTGACCAAGATCAACCTCGACACCGACCGTCTGAACCAGCGAATCGACACCATTGAAAAGACCACGAGCGCCTTATCGACGACTTTGTCCACCCCCGCAGCGAACTCTGCGGCGGCATGGCGCACTTTCCGAGCCAGAGAATGGCAGCGCGACCTAGCCAAGGCTGCGGCACCCAACACCCGGAGCAACGGCACATCGTCTCCAGGAGTACCGGAAATCGAGCTCCGCGAAGACCGCGAGGTGATCGTCAAAGTTGGGCCAAACCGTGAACAGATCCGCGGATTGTCGCCGAAGGATTTGGTTGAACGGGCGGAACGGCAAAAGACGATCTCTGCTCGGCAGAGCTCAGGGGTACTGGCTGGACAGGCATCATTCGTCGCAGCCCGAAAATTGCCCTCGGGCGACGTGGCGATGATCGCCAATAGCGCCGCCGGCGCAGAGGTCCTCCGCAAATACCCCACGTGGTTGAGGGCGTTTGGACCTGGCTCGGTGATCCAGGAACCATCCTGGGGAGTCGTGGCCTACCACATCCCGGTGAGGTCGATGAAGATTACCCCGGAGACGATGACCGACCGTGCAGCTGAACTGCTCAGGCAGAACAACTGGGGCGAGGACTCTGGGATCCAATATCTTGGATGGCTGACGCGTCCGGGTGAAAGGGCGGAGGGCTCGATCCTGATCGAGTTCACCAGCCCAGTCGTGGCTAATCGCGCTATCATTACCGGGGTCGTTTGGGGGAAGCAAATCCATAACGCATCACGATTCTGCCGCGAAGGGCGGATAAAGCTTTGCAGGAAATGCCAAAAACCGGGGCATATCCAGTCACACTGTTCCAACGTTTTCAAATGCGGCCACTGCGCCGGCGGACACCCGACCTGGGAGTGTCCGTCGACAAAGGGGCAAGCGACACCAGCCAAGTGCGCCAACTGTGGCGAAGGACATCGTCCGACAAGCCGGGAGTGTCCGGTGAAGATCGCAGCGATGAATGAAGCCAAACAAGCGTTGGCGGAGTGCCCTACATATCACCGCATCCCTCTTCACTTCCGAATTGCAACAAGGTCCGACAAATCAACAAAGTCGACCAGCTCAAACACTACCACAGGAGACGGAATGGAAGCGTCGATACATGCCCCCAGGAGATAACAGGAGGAAGAGCCTTCGACGGTCAGCCAGGAAACTGTGATTGATCCGGTCACCGCATTCGTGGAAACAGAGACGGCACCAGAGGAGCCCACTGAAACCACACGATCCAAACGAGGCCCTGGTCGCCCAAAGGGCTCAAAGACCAGATCAAAAGTTTCCAAACCACCATTGATACCACTTGCATGCCAGCGATCAACGAGGTATCAACTGGCCTCCCAAATAACGACCCAGAAAGACGCCAATTCCAAAAGGCGCCACACGGGCGAGCCAGAAGACTCCATGGATGAGCAGCCTGGTGACAACGAGTGGTTCAACATCCAGCTCAACCCAGCTGATTTCTCCCAGACTAACACCCAACAAGATAGCCACGAAAACCGACTTTCCCAGTTCTTCGATGAGGTCACGACCCTCAACGATGCGAATAGCACGCTGGAGCCCAATGGTGAAGAGCTGGATCCGGAGAGCCCGGAATACCGCAAACTGGTGGTCTTAAAATATAGACATCAGCAAATGGTATCGGTTAGATCATCTCCTCCCGTGATTACAACCGATGCAGTGACAATCGACGACCCAAACGACGAGGTATGGCACGAAGCTAGCGAGCGAAGCGATGACGAACAGCACCTCCAATGAAGACTTTCGAAATCCTCCAATACAACGTACACAAGTCGTGGCCAGTGATGGCCACCTTTCTTCGAGACAAGAGAGCTCTCGCAGCGGATATCATCGCCGTGCAGGAGCCGTGGAAGAATGAGCTACAGCACACAACCCATCAACCAGCGACTGCATCATTTCAGCTGGTATATCCGGCAAAAGAAACAGTGCACGAAACCAACCAAGCCCAGCACGAGAGCCAGAATCAGACCCTCGCTCCCCCGCAACCAGGAGTATGCCTGCTTGTGTCCAAGAAGCTTAATCCGAGCACCTGGTCATGCCAGCTCATCTCACAGGACTACCAACTCTTGAAGCTCAGGAAGGCCCGTCGAGATGGAGACTGGTCGGATCTCTTCATACACAATATCTACAACAGGCCAGGCAGCGAAACACTAGAGCAACTGAGATGTGAGCTGTCAAAACGCCCTCTTGGAGAACACGTAATTCTGGGGGATATGAATGCGCACCACCCAACATGGGGAGGCATAGGAACCAAAGCTGACAGGGAGGCCGAGCAACTCCTCGAAATCACTAACGAACAAGGGCTGGAAGCAACGACTGAAGAAGGCAAATCTACCTGGACTCGGAATGACCAATCGTCGGTGATTGATCTTACCTTTGTTTCCTCAAGCCTCCTCGATAGACTTATACAATGCGAGAGGGCAGACGACATCGAACACGCCTCCGACCACTTCCCGGTTAGAACCGTGGTTGACATTGAGACCCCAGCCACAGCACAACAGATGCGAAGAAACTGGAATACCACCGACAACCAAAGACTCGTCAAGAAAATCGAAGAAAACCTACATGCGAGGGATTTGTCCCAGGGAGATATACAGCAAATAGAGGCCGAATGCAAGGAACTACTGGAAGCCGTTCAATCAGCAATTGAGGACTCAACACCATGGGCGAAACCATCAGCGTGGTCGAACCCCGATTTCGACGAGGCATGCAAGGCCGCAGTGAAAGAGGTCCGTCGTCTTCGCCGCAGACACACGAGAACAAAGGATCCTTACGATTGGATGTGTTATTCCGAAGCACGCAACAGAAAGACACGTCTGATCAAAAAGACCCTGTCACGAGCGCACCGGCGCCGCGTCCAGCAAGTCATCGAAGATGGACCGCAAGGCATGTGGCGACTAGCTAAATGGGCAAGGAATCGAGATGGAGCCTACGAGAAGGGGATTACGCCCTCACTGAAAATCCAAGATCCTCAAATACCGGGGGCTATCGCGGAAACAATTGAACAAAAAGCAGAAGCCTTCCGGACAGCCTTCTTCCCACAACCACCACCAGCTGACCTCTCCGACATCATAACTGTCAGAATGAGGAATTGATGTACTGGCTGGTACTGAACATGTCCAATAGAATCAGGTGATTGATTGTAGGTGTTCAAGATCGGTTGAACGATCTCAGGGGTCTATACAAATAAGCTTCGGCGTGTTACCACACCGTACTTCCGAATGTGCCCGGAATACCGTACAAATACTAGGGGGAATTGGGTGAACGATGAATAAGCCTGTCCCAAAGGGTCCTAGTGGTATTTGACCACTCTCTCAGTTCGTCACACCCCCTCAGCGTTTGCACAATTCCCAACAACCTCTGCTAATCTAGCAGATTTCCAATATCCTCCATGCCCATCAATTGGATAAATTCTGTGTGCTTCTGGCGCGGCAGTAGCTTAGTGAGTCCGTCCGCAGCCATATTTTTTGTTTCGGTCCATCTGATGAGAATCCTGCCTGCTTGGACCTCCTGACGGAGCCAATGGTGGTGGATATCAACGTGACGTAGCTTTGTCCGCAGCTGAGGAGCTTCCTTGATGAGAAGCCGAATCGTCTGTTGGTTATCGCACCGGATAGCAAGTTCGTGCTTTGGATCAAAGCGAATGGCTTCAAAGAGACGTTTCCACATGCTCATGGTCCTCGCAGCCTCGGAGATCGCTAGCAGCTCCGCTTCGGTAGTACTAGTGGTCACCGTACGCTGCTTACCAGCCCTCCAGTCAACAGGTCCGCCAAAGATTGTGCAGATATATCCCTCCGAGCTCTTCCGATCCGGGTTATCGGCGAACGAGGCATCACTAAAGAGAGTGACGGCTTCATCATCATCGGATCGGCGCGGCCGGTAGGTGAGAGCGAGGAAACGTGTGTGGTATAAGTAGGAAATCACGCGGTTGATCGCTTCGAGATGCTCCGGTCCCGGGTTCGTGAGGAACTGAGCTAACGTGGAGGTGGCTTTGGCTGCATCTGGCCGTGTGATGGTAGTAGCATACTGTGTGGAACCCACCTTCTCCTGGTACTCATGAATTTGTTCCTTTGTGGCCTGCAGCAGGAATCATTTCAATACCCGCAGCCAATCGAGTTTCCACCAGTGACAGCCCAAGAGATAGAGGAAGCAGTGAAAGGAGCGAAGGCAGGAAAAGCGCCAGGAGAAGACGGTATACCGAACTCTCTATGGCACAAACTCATCGAAATACCGGTAATTATGGATGCGGTTTTTCAACTATTCAACGCATGTATACGCACCGGACACAACCCATCACATTTCCAGCGCTCTATCACGGTGGTCCTCCGGAAACAAGGCAAGAGCGACTATCAACTCGCCAAATCTTACAGACCAGTCGCACTGCTCAACACACTCGGAAAGTTCCTGGAGTCAGTCGTTGCACGAAGGATCAGTTATGCGGTAGAGACGGAAGGATTGCTCCCCAGGACCCATCTAGGTGGCCGAAGAGGCATATCCACTGATCATGCTATCCACATCATCATTGATCGAATCAAGACCTCATGGGGCAAGGGCAAACCAGTCGTGTCCCTGCTGCTGCTAGACGTCTCCGGGGCATACGACAATGTTTCCCACGCTCGCCTACTCCATAACCTCAAGAAACGGCGCCTGGGACACTTTGTTCCCTGGGTAAAGGCTTTCTTGACCAACCGAAGCACCAGAATCCGCATGCCCGAGGGCATGTCCGACACAATCCTAACACCCACTGGCATACCGCAGGGATCGCCGATATCACCAATTCTCTATTTGATCTACAATGCAGACCTCATTGAGAGCTGCGGGGCAGGTATCACTAGCAGTGGGTGGGTGGACGATGTCTGCTTTATGGCCAAAGGGGACAGCGAACACGAGACTATCAAGAAGCTCAAGACCGCATGTCGCAAAGCCGACCAGTGGGCCGAGAAGCATGCATCAGTCTTCGACCCGAAAAAGTTCGCCCTCATTCACTTTGTGAACACCAAAGAAGTCGACCGAAAATACCTCTCATTACGTCTACGCGAACACACCGTACCAGCGACAAAGACAGCCGAGCGATACCTAGGCTATCTCGAAGACTGGCACAATGAATACTTTGCGCATGTACTGAGTCTTCCGAGCGCAAAATCGAACCAAGCAGAAGAGATCGCAGCCACTATAATCCCTTTGTTCAAGCGATTGAACAGATGCCTGAAGACAAATTCGTGGTATTTGCATGCCTATGAAGCCAATTGGGGAGGGGTTGTGAGCGTGCTAGCCGATGGCCTTGCAGTTCTTGAGAGTGTCTGTGATTTACTCGATCAAAATCCCTTCTCTCCAATCTGCAGTATGAATCATGGACTTTACAACGAAAAGGACGACGCAGATCTTATTTTATCACACGCAGAACGTACTACTTTCCGCATCTCGGCGCTGATACAGGGGAGATATCCAAAACCTCAAAGAAACCAAAAATGGATAGGGTTAGCCAAATAGAAAGTGGTCTTCATAATGCAACGTGTTGAGGGAACTGACACAAAAGTCCCTTAAGGTTTGAGTGGATGTTTGATAAATGTCGAACTGAGGGGTGGTATTTTACCACTAAGAACAGGGATATTCATCAAGTACCCATTCTGTCTCTGTCTCTGTATGGTAAACGGGGTACGCTCGGCATACCAGCGTCGTAACACGCTAGGAACGACTCCTGAGATCTGTTAACGCTTCAACAGCAAGATCCAGATAGAACAACATCAATGCATCTCAATGGGACACCTCAATACTAGCACATACCAGTATCTGTCAATCCGACAGTTATGAGCCCGGTTGCCCGTTGCAATATCCATTAAGATATATCAGACCTCTCTGCTCTGTATCTTAGCGACGTGTATAATATTCCGCAGTGCCGGATACCCCTGAATAGCTCGGATACCTCTGAATCGCCCGGTTACCCCTGAACGGCACATGCGAGCGTTGCCAACGACCGATTGCGAACAGGACAATAGAGTACAATAAGGGAAAGCAGTATAAGAATGTCAGAAGGCCTCTACTCAGAAGAACTGAGGGCAGTGCCTCAGGACCAGCGACTACGGTCGGAAAGTCAATGGAGAGTCTGGATCGGCCACATACGCTCAGCAGCTATCTCTGAAGATGTGTGGGACTATCTGAATCCAGATCTTGCAGAAGAGAGCGTACGACAGGTTCCCGAGGCCGCCCGAGAGCCTCAACCTAGCAGTATTCGCGAAGATGTGGAGGATGAGTTTGAACTCACAGAGAAGGAATTTACCCAGTGGACTCGACGCATTCAAGCCTATGATAGGCGTGAGGCTCAACGGGTGCGCCTGCTGAAGGTGATGGCACGCATGAACAGCCTAATCACACGTTCTCTCGCAACCGAGTATCACTATCTCACAGTCGATGAGGTTTCGCCGTATCAGAAGCTTGTCAGGCTAGCTCGTGAATTCAAGCCAAAGCCAGAGACCCGGACCGAAGAGCTTCGAGCTGCGTGGAGGGCCATGATCAAACAACCAACGAATAACGTCAATACAGATCACTGGCTCACTCAGTGGACGAGTCTATATGAGGAAGCAAAGTGTGCAGATGTGCCTGATGTGGTATACAGTGTCAAATACGCTATTCGAGACTTCCTGCGCGCTATTCAGCCTATAGATGACGTATTCTGTACCACGTGGCAGGAGAAAATCCTCATACACGATATATCCTTCCACGACGTTATCTCCGCATACCGAACACGCCGTAAGGCTCTTGGACAGTCAGCGAAGAAGGGATCGTCGAAGGTTGCACTTGCCACGCTAGATGGTCAGCATGAGGCTAAACCTGGTCAAAATAAGTCAAAGCCAGCGGAGAAAACGTACCGTACACGGTGCCCGTGTGGTAATGGTGCCCATACGTATCAGCAGTGCTATTATCTCAACAAATCGCAGAGGCCAGAAGGCTGGAACCCGAACGAAGCTGTAGAGAAGAAGATCCCTGAATTCATCAAGAGGATGAGCCCCCAGGACCAGGAAGCCATCGCAAAGCTTACCAAGGTCGAATCAGCTCAGTTTGCAGCCTCAGAAGATCAGCAGTCGTCCGAACAGATTATCTCTATGTTTTCGCATAATCTTGCGGTACAAGCGGCGCAAGAGGGTGATGAGTTTCCGCTAAAGGATAGCTGGATCGTCGATACTGGCGCGAATACTCACATCAGCAACGATCGTGACAGATTCATCTCATTCACTCCTGCTGACTACACTGTCATCACCGGAGACGCTTCTACAAGAATCCAGGGCTTTGGAACGGTCAGACTGAACCTCACAGACCCCAAGACCGGAAAGATCTCTATCGGAGAGGTCTCGGACGTACGGTATTCGCCAGGATTCCACACGAACCTACTTTCGGCGTCGAGACTGAAGAGCAAGGGATTCATCATGAATATCGAGTTACTGGCACTCGTTCGCCGCGGTCAGCCTATTGCAAAGCTAGAGGAGAAATGTGGGCTATACGTACTCGAATACCGGCCAATTCCGGCTGGATTCGCTACAATCAAGCATTCAGAAAAACCATTAATATCCTCAGCCACCGCCGAGCGTTGGCATCAACGCCTAGGTCATATGTATGATCAACGTATCGAGAAACTTGCAGAACTCGTTGATGGAATCAAGATCATTGGTCAGCATGTCGATGATGCTGCCGGCAATCCTGAGAGATGTGAAGTCTGTCAAATGACTAGCGCAAAGCGCCAAATCTCGAGAAGAGCTCATGGAACCAAGTACGGCAGATATGGTCGAATTCACTTTGACCTTGTGCAGATAGAGACAGCATACAACGATGATAAGTGGATGACACACTTCTACCTCGAAGGGATACGCCTACATGCCGCCTCAACACACCAGAAGAAGAGTGGTTGTCAGGATGCAGTCAAGAATTTTGTCGCGTTTGCAATAACACAATTGAAGTTGCCAATTCGAGCTTTCCGCTATGACAACGAGCGCGCTGCCGGCCGCACGGTAGAAGACTTCCTCCGTGAATGTGGCTTCATCGTGGAACACAGTGTGGTGGGCACACCAGAGATGAACAGCTTCGGTGAACGATCTGGGGGGGTGATAATTGCGAGGGCACGAGCCTTACTGTTGGAAGCAGGCTTGCCGAAGGCTCTCTGGCCAGAAGCTGTTAAAGCAGCTGTATATATCATCAACAGATCGCCCACTAAGCTTCCAAACGGTCAGTGGATTATTCCGTACGCTGAGGCAACAGGAATCGATCACATGCAGCCAAAACAACGCATCAACCTCTCAAATCTGCGGTTATACGGATGCCGCGCTTACGTGCGCCGCCAAGATATTCCAAAGAGCCACAAGATGGAGCCGCGCGCGGATATCGGATATCTAGTAGGCTACACAGCCTCGAACATCTGGCGAGTGTGGTTTCCGCACAGAGGAGCCGTGCGAGAAGTCAGGGACGTAGTATTCGACGAGAATCTACGATATGACCCCAAAGAACTAGTAAAGCCACCCATTAGCGACGTAATCGAAGCTATGCCATGGGAAATCGGTGAAGATGAGCATGAGGACATCGAGCAGCTCACACAGCGTGTCAGCCAGCCAGAAACAAACGAGCCAGCTAGTGAAAGCACTCAGCAGTCACCAGAAGCTATACCGGACGTTCAACGCCAAGAAAATGCCTTTGAACCACCGAAATCACCAGGCCAACCTCAGCAGACGGTCACGCCGTCTCTAACACCCTCGGCAGAGCCACAGCTTCTGCCGGCGCCTCAGGCGCAGCAACCATCTCAAGGAGCATTTCCCGGGGATCGAGGGCCCGCACAACATGAGACAGCACGTCCAAGAGCACCAAGAGATATTGTGGGAGATGTATCGGACCAAAACATCGTCTCTGGAGCACGGAAGAGGAAACCAGTGGACCAGGCATTTACCGCCGCGCTAGAAGAGCCAGAGGACTATCATGAAGGTGTGTTAGCAGCGTTCGCAACAGGACTAAACGCTCCTCACCTTCATAACCTCGTGCACCGCGATGATCTGCCTTCAGAGCCTCAGAACTGGAAGGAAATGATCAATCATCAATATCACAAGGGATTTCTTGCGGCTGCAGGCCTTGAAATTGACACACTCACTCGTAAAAACACCTTCGAGGTAGTACAGCGTCCAACGGACCGCAGTATTCAGATCCTACCTCTCAAATGGGTCTTCACCTACAAGTTTGATAGCAATGGGTTCCTGAGCAAGCTGAAAGCGAGACTATGCGTGCGAGGAGATCTCCAGCGGATGACGGCAGAAGAAAAGTACTCAGCGACTCTCGCAGCGCGAACCGCGCGTGCTGTATTCGCCCTAGTTGCTGCATTCGATCTGGACACATATCAATATGATGCTGTCAACGCATTCCTCAATAGCCTACTAGATGAGGTTGTATACGTCTCATTACCACCAGGGTTTGAGAAAGATGGTAAGGCCAAGTGCTGGAAGCTTCTTAGAGCTCTATACGGCCTACGAAAATCTCCACGCCTATGGCAACGAGAAGCGTCTAAGATCTTCACATCTCTAGGCTTGCAGGTAGTGCAGGAAGATATTTGCCTCTTCGCAGCGGACGGCATCATGGTGTTCTTCTATGTTGACGATATCATCATTGTAAATCATTCTTCAAAGCATGCAGCAGCCAAACATCTGAGAGAAGAGCTCAACAGACACTGGGAGCTTCGAGATATGGGAGAGGCGCAGTGGTTCCTCGGGATACGCATTATCCGTGACAGACAACAGATGGCCCTATGGCTCTGTCAGGATTCATATATATCCTCGATGGCTCACCGTTACCATCTTACTGGATCTCGCAGATATGATACACCACTCCCTAGTACCCCACTCAAGCCATTTGACGGCCAGGCGACGCCTCAACAGATTCACGAGTACCAGGAGAAGGTTGGCTCAGCTCAATATGCAACGACGATCACTAGACCGGACTCAGCGAAAGCGACGGCTACACTGGCTCAATTCCTCACAAATCCCGGTCCTCAGCACCTTGATGCAATCAATAGAGTCATCTCGTACCTTGACAGCACTCGGACATCGGCGATCGCGTACAGAGCGCGTGATCGATCACAGAAAAATTGTCAGATACCGGAGGCCGTTCAGTTCTTTAGTGACGCCTCATTCGCTGATAATCCCGATCGAAAAAGCTCTGAAGGATACACATGTATGATGTTTGGAGGACCTGTCGATTGGAAAGCTGGCAAGCAGCGTACGGTGACTACCAGTACAACCGAAGCTGAGCTCCTTGCGGTTTCAGAAGCTGCCAGGACCGTGGCCATGTGGAAACGGCTATTCAAAGCAATACGCTTTGATCCTGAGCATGAGCTAAACATCAAATGCGACAATCAGCAGACTATCGGGATCCTCGAAAAAGAAACACCTCAACTGCGCACGAAGCTCCGTCATGTTGACATACACCAGCACTGGCTCCGGCAGGAGGTTCAGAGCAAGCGCATCACCGTACACTGGGTGAAAACCGCCGATATGGTAGCTGATGGTCTCACAAAGCTACTACCCCGCCAAAAGCATCTCGAATTCATGCAATCGATGGGTATGGAAAATATACGGCAACATCTGGTGGTGGGCGAGGTCTAACGCACACATCTGCAAGAGCAGAAAGGGCACTCGCTGAGGGGGTGTGTCGAACTGAGGGGTGGTATTTTACCACTAAGAACAGGGATATTCATCAAGTACCCATTCTGTCTCTGTCTCTGTATGGTAAACGGGGTACGCTCGGCATACCAGCGTCGTAACACGCTAGGAACGACTCCTGAGATCTGTTAACGCTTCAACAGCAAGATCCAGATAGAACAACATCAATGCATCTCAATGGGACACCTCAATACTAGCATATACCAGTATCTGTCAATCCGACAATAAATTCAACAGCATTTTTCAAATTTCGAAATGGGCTATCGACTCCGTTAAATCTCTTTTTGTCGTATATTTTGACCGGCTTGCTCCAAGTACACTGGGCATTTTGCGCAGGTTTAGCTTTCAAATGATATACTTAGATTTAGTGAATCATTCACCACTGTCAGAGCCCGAGCCCATTGATTCTCGGACACTCGACGAAGAAAGGAAGAGAAAAAGGCGACCTTGTGTGAAGGAATCTACGACATTTCGACGAGTCCACATACACTACGTCATCATCAAAGCACCATCCACGGGATTCCGATTGTTAATCCTGATAAGGTCTGTAACATGATTCAAGGTTTATGAAGCAGAAATTGGAAACCAACTTGAATTACTGAATCGTTCCGTGTTCACGACCCACGGAAAGGATCGTGGGACGTTATAGCTAGCTCCCCTTCGCTTTTTTGGGCGCTGGTATAGAACCACAGACCAATCCGAATAGTAAAGTGTGATATTATTTTTATTCAACCCCCTGCATCAGAGATGGTTTTCCGGATCTTCAACCAATTTCGCAAGCCCTCTCTGGACTCAGGCAGTTACTCAGACCTGACGATATCGTGTGGAGGCTGTAACTTCAATGTACACCTGCAATAGTTTGTTCTCAGTCATCCTCTTTTGGCGCTACAGTCAAAGGCGGATTCAAGGTAAATGTTCTCTACTTTTGCCAATCCTGGTATATATGACTAACATCGTCACAAGGAGGTTTCTTTATCGCAAATTGATCTGCCGGATAATGAGCTAGCAACCATTCACCGAGTTATCTCCTTTCTTTACGTTCAAGATTACGGAGAGATGGACCACCTGGGCTTTTTGATGGCTGTTTTGAGCGGAAATATAGATCCTCATAAAGTTATGCGGAATAACCTATTGGTTTATATGGCATCCGACAAGTTCGACCATTCGCCTATAGAAAATCTTGCCGTCAATAGGAATGTAACCGGTTTCGTGATAGTGATGGTGTGGTAACATTTATCCATGTACCGAACCGAGATCAGTCATTTATATCTGAGAAACTATAGTTTTAGATTCGGACAAAAGCGTCGATGCTGCTACAGCAACAGCTCTGGATCATGCTTTGGGCAAAGCTCAAGGATGTCTAGTCATGGTTCAGGACGCAGCATCTCAGAATCCCCAAATTATTGAAGTAGCGGAACGCCTTCGCAACCTGCTTCAGAACCTGAAAGATCTCAACGCTAAGCAGTGGCGCTCCATAGACGGTGATGTTCTATCCAATGTCTTTTTACTCTTATATTGCTGCATCATGGAATGCCGTGAGCTCCAGCCTACTCCGCTAGCAATCTCGTCGCTATGCCATGGACTTGTCGCCAGCAATTTGGCTCTGCATGGTGTGCATGGCGCAGCTTTGGTGTATGTCTTGATTTCTCCATTTCCACCTTTCATAAGTCTGACCAAATCGCCTTTTAGAAACCAGAACGACAAAACATCGGTATCTTCGCAGCAGCAGAGGGTCATGAACGCCATCGAAGAAGTAGGCAACAAAAAATTCGAAAATGCGAACGGAATGAGCCTGACTATATATAATTTGCAGGCGATTCTCAATTCGATGAAGGACACTCGTGAGCCGGATTGTGCGACGGCCTTTGGCGACATGCATGTGAGCTTCGGCGGAGGGAACCGCGGTATTCGAGCCGCTGAGTATCGTGGAAGCATGCACTTGACCTTTCCTCTCTAGAAGACCCAGGAGATTTGACGAACCTCTGTGTGATGTGCATGTTTGTATCTGGATGCTGCTATGGATAACTATTTGATGTTTATACGGACAGATAGAATTGCGCATAAAGCAAGGAAAGGTTCACTTTCTCCTACGTTCTGGCCTTGGAAGCTATATAAAAAATGATTTCTGACCGATGAAGCTCTGGAAAGGCTAGGTTTTCGTCTGATTCTGGAGGCAATACTTTAGTGGGACGGCGTCTATCTGGGCACCAATTAGAGGGCGAACGGTGAAGTTAGAACTTCTGCAACTCCTATCCGTGGAGAGCTGCCGAGCGCAGCAGAGCAAAATGTACTGACACTAGTGACGTTCAAGCTACATGTAATAAGAAATCATCCTACTCATTCATGTTATATGCAGTCCTGGTTTATACTCACCTTGCGAAAGGCTGGACTAAGCGAAAGTATTCTATCATTCTCTGTATAAAAGACACATGATCTAACCATTAAGCCGCTTTACAGTAGTCTCGCATGACATCCGGCGCGTTACAAATAGAAATAGTCTGACGAGATAGTCTTCAACGGTGCCAGGGAATTGAAATCGACTGACTTACTTCGCCAGACATACTGCGGAAATATGCGCTTATGATGGCATATTTTGTCAAAAGAAAGAGTGTTGAGACCCTAGAAGTAGAGTTCAGCAAAATGAGCCCATGCCATGTAGGCTAAATTATGAGATATCCCGATTACTTCTTACATGCATCAAGATCAAGAAACGTACAGATATCGACGTCAAAGGATTCTGGAGCAATGATGATCATCCAGGCGGGCAGCACCAGCAAACAGCGGAACTTAGTCTTTCAGCCCCAGGTGTTGGTGTTCGGGTCTACATTTGTGCTGGTTTCGTAAACAATGTTTTCGCTGAGGAAATAACTGCATAGACGTCCGCTATTCCCACTAGTGTAGGTAAATTTGATTGCTAACATTTGTTGACTCCGAGGATTACAGTACGCGCTAGTATCCGAATGGACCATCTAGGTGAGTCAGACTGGAATTGAGATGTGCGTTCTAAATAGCTATCTGGATTATTCAGAGTATTGAGGCCATTGTGGTATTATTCAGTCTTTGAAACCGCGAGAATCAGGCATGACGTGGGTGCTAAATAAAAGGGCCATACGCTAGTAAGAATCCACTTTCCTTTATTCGACAGAGAAAGCTGTTGTGTGCCTAGTGAGTCCCACCTTGAAACAGCCAGCTAGCATACCCAATCAAACCATCCGATCTATACAGTATCTTAGTAGGAGTAGCTGCCTGTTAGGGACGCACTCCGCTAGGCAGCAGGGAGATGAGCTGCTGCAACTACAAATAGCTGTATCCTGTATCTTTCCATATAGTGAAATGGGGATGGCTCAGTGGTAGTCTGGCATAGCAGACAGGTCGATATCATGGATGAAAGATCAAGCAACCAACACTCCCTGGACGACACTAGTAGACACCGGTGCGTATACCCTGAGAGTTCTTCATAATGGAAGAGCTGGAAGCGAAAAGAGTGAATTGTATGATGCTAGCCCAGTCCTCAGCTGGAATCTCAACAAGGAGAAGTGCTATCTAAATGGCCACGTGACAAATAGTCCGTCCATCTATCTACTAACGTGAATCCCGGCCGCCCGAGCGTCCCGGTCGCCCGAGCGACACTTTTAAAAAAAACATTTCTGTAGCAACCCATGTTTTTAAACATTAACCATGCCACCAATTCGCTCTCAAAAGTCTCAAAAATTGGCACAGCAAGAAGGGCCTCTCTTATTAGCTATCAAAGCTATAAGAGATGGTCAATATCTGTCTGCCGCTGCTGCTGCGCGCGCTTTTAATGTGCCAGTCTCAACTTTGAAGCACCGAATCAAGGGGCGACAATTTTGGGACGAATCTCGCCCCTCTGGCGATAAATTTACTATGTTGGAAGAAAAATCTATGGAAAAATGGCTGCTTTCTATGGATTCTCGAGGAGCAGCTCTCACGCATGCCATGTTGAGAGATATGGCCAATTTGTTGCTCCGATCGCGTGAATTGATACCCTCCGACCTTCCTCCGAAAGTTGGCAAAAATTGGACGACAGAATTTGTTAAAAGACACCAAACACTCTCCACTCGTCTCTCTCGTAAATACAATTATGAGAGAGCCCTTTCTGAAGACCCAAGGGTTATTCTACCTTGGTTTAAACTTGTTGAACATACCATCCAAAAATATGGTATCACTTCTGACGATATCTATAACTTTGATGAGTCTGGTTTTGCGATGGGAATCAGTTCCACTCAAAAAGTCATCACTTCTGCTGAATACCATGGTAGAAGAGGTGTATTACAGCCTGGGAATCGAGAATGGGTCACTGTGATTGAGTGTATTGGTGCTAATGGCGTTGCGCTTCCGCCATATATCATTTTTAAAGGAAAGGTCTTTCTGGAGCGTTGGCTCTTGAAACCACCACTTTGGAGCGTGAATAAAAGCCCCAATGGATGGACAAGTGATGAGATTGGTAATGACTGGCTCAAAAAGCACTTTTTACCCTATCTTCCTCTACGGAAAGGGAAATACGTGTTGCTAATTCTGGATGGACACTCATCTCATCTGACACCTGAATTCGACAAAATCTGTGAAGAGAATGATGTTATTTCTCTTTGTATGCCTGCTCATGCATCTCATATATTACAACCTCTTGATGTTGGGTGCTTTTCAGTCCTAAAAAGGGTATATGGAGCGCTTGTTATGGAAGAGATGCGCCTTGGTGTCAATTCTATCGACAAAGATGACTTCATTCAACTCTACCCTATTGCCCGAGAAGCTGCTTTCAAAGCGCAAACTATACAGAATAGCTTTAAAGGCACTGGTCTAGTGCCTTTGGATGCTAATTATGTACTAGATAAGCTTAATATTCAGCTTGAATCGCTTCCACCACCTAAGCCACTTGAACCACGACCAGCATCTTCTAGCAGTACTAGTGATCTAGATACGCTTTGGAGCCTCTCAAAACTGCAAAAAATGAATTCTCAGTTCAAAAAAGGACTTGAACCTTCATCAGAGACCATGACTTCGCCACTAAAACGAGCTATTGACCGGTCGCATGATATGGCCGTTCGGCTAAGTCATGAGCTCATCTTTATCAAAGATCGTTACACTAGGTTAGAGACTGCTAATAAGAAGCAGGTAAAAAAGAGGGCTACTAGTAAGAAGCAGATATCGCATGAAGGCAGTCTGCGAAGGTTGGAAGAGATTGGACCCAATGTGGTGGTGGGTAAAAATGGTGGAAGGGAATATTGTTGTGATATGAGGCTGGTGCAGATCAGGAACCAAGCCGTACCGTCGGAATTAGCTCCGAAGTGTCTATATAGACGACTAAGTTGATTTCTAATCAACTTGGCTCATTGTTGTATATATAGGCTCATGTATCCCTCGGAAATAACAACTCAATTCATACCTCTGAACTACAACAGGTTATGAGCCCGGGAGCATAATCTCGGCTGCCGTCTCTACTCATCTGAGAATCATCTCATCAACATTGATTATATATCTACCCCGCTTTCGCAATCATCACTATGTCTGCTCTGGTCCATGACTCTCCTGACCGAGCCGTCACGGCCATCGAACCTCTGACGGGAAGCGATAACTTCGCGACCTGGAAACGTCTCATGACCTCCTACCTCAAAGCCAGGCAGGTCTGGGATGTCGTGTCGGGCGACCTTCAGCGTCCCGACTGTCTCTTCAAGTACGCCAAACCTATTACGGCGGACATCCACCCCTTGGTGGAGCCCCACCTCAATGGGGCGGTGAGGCAGCGAGCCATTGAAGCGCGCCTCGAAGTGGAGGTCCAGGCATTCGAGCGCCACCGTGAATGGTCGCGCCGCGAAGCCGAGGCCTACCACACCATCTTCCGGTACCTGTCCCCCCACATCAGCATTCATGTCGCGGGACTAGAGACGTCCCGTGACCTTTGGAATGAACTTGAAGAACGGTACCGGCGAATGGAACTCGCCACTTTCTGCGAACTGTTTGCTCAACTTCGCGAGACAACCGGCGAACGATGTGCCAGTGCGCGTGATTTTGTTGATCGCGTACGGCTGCTTGTACATCGATTGAATGCCATTGCTCCAGGATCAATCGGTGACAAGACACATATTGCAATTCTGCTCACGCAGATCGGACCGGAATACATCCTGGTTGTGGATGCGATCCAGAATGACAAGGATCCGGTCAACCCGACCACGATCGGAAATCGGCTGTCCAACGCCGAGCAGACGGTCCGACGAAAGGAGTCTCCCGTGCCCCCGCAGGGAGTCCCAGGACCGTCAATAAATGCAGTGCAGAGAAATCCCAAGAAATGTACCTACTGCAGGAAGCGCGGCCATGTGGTCGCGGAGTGCTGGAAGAAACAGCGCGAAATTCACCCGCCTAGGGACCATGCCCTGAAGGCTGAACGGAGTGCTTCCGGCTCACCAAGAAACAACATGCAAAATATACTGTCAAGCCAGAGAGAAGATCGGCAGGGCCCGCCGACTTCCAAGAGACCGAGGATCAATATCGTGAGGGCGAGGGTGACGACCCTCTATACCCACGCACCGCAACCCCGGTGGATCCTGGACTCGGCCGCCACCAGCCACATCTGCTGGGACCGGAGCTGCTTCAGCAGTCTGCGGCCCCACCGCGAGATGCTGGACACGGCGGGCGATCCAGTGGAAGCCGAAGGGATTGGTACGGTGAAGCTCACGCTCCGGGGGAAGTTCAACCAACCCCTGGTGTTAAAGAATGTATACTTCGCGCCACGCGTCGGGATGAACCTGATCAGCGTGCCGAAGCTGTTGCGAGACCGCTACTCGGTGGTGGCGCACCCACAGAACGTCTTTGTGCAACGCCGAGGACGGACCGTGGGGACTGCCTACCATGCGGAGGAGGATCTGTTGATCCTGCGGTGCCATGTGAGCAGAAGATCTCGAGAGCGAGTCCAACTGGCGAGGGCGCCGGCGACCTGTGGCCATGCAGATTCCCTGGAACCGCAGGCGGTGGCCATGGACGTCGACGACCCTCAGGAGTCAAGTGACGCAGAATGCGCAACGTCAACCTCTGAACTCGGTGGTGAAGCTGTGATACTCGAGGAAGATGCGTGCAAAGGAGTGGACCAGGCCTCCGAAGCGTTGTGGCACGCTCGGATGGGACATCTGAACCGGGGAGACTTGAGGGTGGTCCTCCGGCAGACCGGCACTCCGTACCGACCGCTAACGCAGGCGCAGCTGCTGGCAACGCCGCAGTGCCCAGCGTGTATGTCGGGTAAGCAGCATCAGAAGAGGAACTCCCGTGCAAGACGGCCACGTCTGCATTCAACGAGAATCTTTGAAATGATCCATTCGGACATCATGGAGATGCCGATCGCCAAAGATGGCTCCAGGTACGTGATCACCTTTACTGACGATTATTCTCGTGGCTCGTGGGCATATGCCATGAGATGGAAGCATGAAGCGCTCCAGAAGTTCCGACTATTTGCGGCCTGGGTGCACCGACAGTTCGGTGCCCAGATCAAGAGGTTCCTCACCGACAACGGGAGAGAATACCTGCCGATCGGAGCACACCTCGAGACCCAGGGAGTTGAGTTTGACACCTCGCCACCATACTGCAAAGGACAGAATGGTCTGGCCGAACGCACGAATCGCACTATCCGGGAGCGGATCAACACGCTCCTGTCTGATGCGAACCTTCCTCCTTCCTGGTGGACCGAGCTTGTGGACACGGTGGTCTATCTGAAGTTGCGCGCGCCAGCATCGATTTTGCAGAAGAAGACCCCGTACGAAATCATTTACGGGAAGCCGCCCTCGCTGTTGCATCTGCGACGGATTGGCTCCCGCGCATGGGTGTTGATCCCGAAAGAGCATCGAGCCAAACTTGGACCCAGATCCTCCGAGTGCCGATTGCTAGGTTACAGTGAACCGAACCAGTACAAGCTGTATGAAATTCATTCAGGTAAGACAGTATTTTCCCGTGATGTCGAGTTCGATGAGAGGACCCCAGTGGCGCCACTCATCGAGGGGGAAACAGGCAACGACCTCCCGGACAACGCTCCTCCATCACCTGTCTTTTCACCAGTGGTGCCACCTCCATCTAGCGCACTGCCTACGCCACCAGCATCGCCTCCAGGTTTGGCTGAACGACTGAAAACGCCATCTCAGCATGTGGAAACATTTCCACCGGTCAATCCAATCGAACAGGAAGCAGAGTCCACACAGGACCTCGGCTATTCCATCTATGGCCGCAGAAGAAGACCCTCACGGCGCTTACTGGAATCACTTGGCAAAGTGTACACCGCAGGCGCACTGAATACTGCATCTGCGCGCACAGTCGATCCGTCGACTTTCCACGAGGCCGTGTCGTGCCCGAATCAACTGGAATGGTGGGCAGCCATCCAGAAAGAATATGCGTCTCTTCTCGAACACGGAACATGGGAAAAGGTTCTACGAACAGACGTACCCGCCGGAGATCATGTGATCGGCTGCAAATGGGTCTTTAAGACCAAAACCAACGGAACGCGCAAAGCGCGACTGGTCATCAAAGGCTACCGGCAGAAGCACGGCATCGACTACCATGAAACATTTGCTGCGGTGTCACGGATGGACTCGGTCCGCTGCATCATCGCCAGCGCCGTGTTACGAGGATGGAAGCTTCACCAATTTGATGCGGTCACTGCATTCTTACATGGTGACGTTGACTCTTCCATCTACATGGAGTTGCCTGAAGGCTTCGAAGAACCGGGATATGTTTGCCGGCTTCGTCGTTCCTTGTATGGACTCAAGCAGGCCCCGCGGATTTGGTACCAATGCGTCCACCGCGTTCTGGCCGCTCATGGCTTCACCATGGCACAATCGGACAACTGCGTGTTCTATAAATCCAATTGCGTGATCTGCGTCTACGTCGATGACTTTCTCGTTGCTGCATCAACCTCGCACGAGATAGACCAAGTGCAACGAGCACTGGAAAAAGAATTCCGATTGAACGACCTTGGAACTCCACGTTCGTTCCTCGGGATCCAATTAGACTACCATGCCGACGGAGCCGTTTCCATTCACCAACAACAGTACATCCAAAAGGTTCTTTCCGACTTTGGCATGGAAACCTGCCAGGCGAAATCTACCCCTATGAATCCCAAGCAAGACTTGAATCGCCGCCCAGACGAAGAACCTCCGGATGAGGAAACAAAAGCACGATACGCAACCGCCATCGGTTCATTGATGTATCTGATGGTCGGAACGCGGCCGGACATTGCGTTCGCGCTGGGCACGTTGAGTCGCTTCACGTCTCAGCCGCAATCGCACCATCAGGTTGCCCTGCAGCGATTGCTTCGCTATGTCAAAGCCACGCAATGCCATCGCATTACATACCGCAGTGGTCAGTTGATCGGATACACAGATGCCGACTTCGGTGGCTCCGTCGTCACTGATGGGGCATACTCCACGTCTGGCTATGTGTTCCAACTTGCAGGCGCACCAGTCTCCTGGTCGTCCAAGAGACAGGGGGAAGTGGCCACGTCGACGACTCATGCCGAGTACATTGGACAATACAATGCCCTTCTACATCTGCAGTGGCTCCGCACCTTCCTAGCAGAAACGCAAATGTACCGGTCCCCGGTCACCAACATCATGGCTGACAACCAGTCCGCTATTGCCCTCTCGCGCAATCCCGAGTTCCACAAACGGACCAAACATTTCAACGTGAAATTCCATTATCAGCGAGCAGTGCTGAATGCTGGCGAGATTGGTCTTCAATATGTTCCTACTCAGGAACAGGCCGCTGACGGTCTCACCAAGCCGTTGGGACCTACGGCTTTTGCCAAGTTCTGTAGTCTTCTAGGAATCGAAGCCTTGGAGACTCGGAGGCAACAAACGTGACAGCGCAGGCGCTCTTTCCACTTTATTTTCCCACGAAGGTTTTTGAGTGGTTTTACCGAGGCTTGCCTACACAGCGTTAATCCAGTATCGCCTTGCCAGCAAAGCGATCCTGAGGGGGAATGTTGTGATATGAGGCTGGTGCAGATCAGGAACCAAGCCGTACCGTCGGAATTAGCTCCGAAGTGTCTATATAGACGACTAAGTTGATTTCTAATCAACTTGGCTCATTGTTGTATATATAGGCTCATGTATCCCTCGGAAATAACAACTCAATTCATACCTCTGAACTACAACAAATATATATCTGCAACGGAAGGTGCTGCAGAATCACCAGCAGAGCCTGAATTACCCCCTGTATCTACTATACGGCGCCAGGTCACCTGTTCTGGTTGCGGAACCAAAGGGCATACTTATTCTCGATGTCCTACAAAACTTATTTAGCTGTTTATCTAAGTTTTCGTGTTGGTATTTGAGATTCTAAAATTACCAAATTTGAAGTTCTCGGAGCAGCGCTCGGGCGGCCGGGATTCACGTTATGTCACCGGTTCCACCACTACAATAGATAAAAAATAACCTCAATCCAGGGCTTCAACTCGACGAGCGGTCGGAGTAAATGAATTACACACAAACAAACACATACTGTAAGACATAGATACATAAAAATATGTGCTAAAGAGCGATAATTTCCATCAAGGTGATGAGAACATCAACTAGGCAATGCGCATGTAGTTCAGCGATGTCAGTGAAGGTGTCGTGCGCACCTATCACCTATGCCAGTCCCTCCTGCCTGCTTTTGACAACTTCCTTCTTCTTCTTGTAGTTCACATCGTTACCATTGATAATACTTTTCCCCTCTAAGTCATCCAGAAGATCAAGAACGTAATCTTGACAGTTATACCCCGGGTATTCATTGTGGATCGGCGCCTGTCTTGCTGCCTCTTTAATTGCAGTGACCTTGGCAATAGGCACATCGCACAGGTAAATCAGCTCGGAAAGTGTCGCTGATTTACGGGCGTCGGAAGCTCTCATTTCGAAGCGGTAATTGGTGGACGAACCCATGATGTGGAGGACTGTCTGTTCCGCATCCGTGGGTCCGTTAACAAAGAGGCTCCAGTGTTTGTAGACACCTCCGTCATTGTAGATAGCGACATGGAGTCCTGCAGTCGAAGACATTTGTAAACTGTAGACGGCTACCGTGAGAACTTTGGAACGTTGTGGATAGGTCTTCGAGCGTAAGAATTGTGAGAGACAATACCGACTGTTGGTGAACAACAACAAAAGAAGCGACAACGAAAGCACAGAGCCAGGAGGCAAGACTGTATTTGGTAAAAGTAAGAAAAGGCCTTGGCGAGGAGCGAGCGGGTGTTCTGGTCAGACTTAATTGAAGGCGATAGAATGAATTGGTCCTGGAGTAGGGAGAACGATGGTTGTACTTATAGACTACACTAAATATTAGGTTCTGATATCCTATTGAAAATTCAGGATACCCCTTGATAAATTTCAAGTAGAGAGACTAGCCATCCATACATGTATCATGTTGAACACTGTCATCCAATCAATTAGCGCTAAGGCGTCTGCAAGTGATACCAATGTGCATGATGTAGCCATCGAATCTCTAAATTTAGGTCGAAGAAATAATTTCCTAGCTGCTGAAACCAAATAGCGTCACGCTGGTTTCATCAACATGTAAGCGCTCGCCATGTGCGGCTGGAACGCACTGGCCTGTTCGTAAATAAGGACGGATCGACACATGCCATGGCGAATCACACGGAACTTGAGAGGGACCCGCATGGATTAGCGCCGGCCTAGACCTCCTTGAGACCGTAACCGTAGGCCCTTGTTGATAACCTACGCAAATTGAAGAGTTTGTCAAAGCCTTGCACTCCGAGCGATGACTCCGACCACCATAGCGCCTCAAGCTGCATATATATTGGAAGTTCTAACAATGCATAATTAAGTAAATAAATAGTGGTTAGGCAATTCTAGAAAATGTTTGATTTCTAGCAGTTGGAATTTACTTTGCTCAAGGTTTAAGCTATGTGGACCGGACGTGAATCCCCCAAAGTCGATCAACAAGCCAACGTATAGAGAATTTAGAAGGCGAGATACTCCCTGGTAAGTAGAGAAACCAGTCGTCTTCATCCACTAGGCTCAGGGTGCGCGTTAGGGTAGTACACTCATAGTACGCCGGATAAAAGCCGCTGTCCTCCCAATCAATGATCCCAGTGACAATATAATGACCCTTGATATTCCGGTCTTTTGTCACCACGATATTATCAACCCTAATATCACCATGGGTGAAGACCAATATATGTGCCATATTAGGATTATCATGGTGCAATAGGGAGCGAAGGAGCGTGAGGTATGTGTTGCTACCATGGTGACGGGCCGAAAATTGCAGGTTGCTAAACTCCTCGGCTGTAGTGATACCTTTGAACAAGGCACATTCGTCAACACGAAGCTCTTTGGCCCCTTCTCCGCGAACCCCCCCAAGCGCCTTTCCCTCGTCCTGTGGAAGAGACCTCAATCGGCAGAAAATGTCTTCTAGCTGTTGTTGGATCGATAACTTTGCCTCGTGTGACAGATCAGACCATACTTGGGCCAGCGTGGTGTCCGGAATATAGGACATGAAAATAACGCGAAATGGACCGAACGCGATCAAGCCGTGGGGTCTCGGAGCAGGTATATCGGGCGCCCGCTCAGCAAGGAATTCCATGCTCGTGTATTCGGTGTAATCCCTATTCCCCAAGATGACTTTGGCAACAATGTCGTCGTTGCACTTAACCACAACGCCTCTAACAGGGTTCTCCCACAACTTGGGCGACTTCCAAAGAAGACGTTTCAAAGGCACAACTAGTGCTGTCCCATTGTCACTTGACCCGTCTTTCAAAGGATCTCCTGCAAATTGCGCCAGCAGAGCGACCACCTCCTTAGACAATGGAAAGATGACCGTGGCAGTCTCGGCAAGATCAAGACGTGTGCGGAACTCAGGGGCTTGTACCTCGGGAGCATCTTTCTCGACAGGCGGCAAAACCTTCGGTCCAGTCGCCATATTAATCTTCCGATTATAATTTTTCGGGAATTTGGACAGCAAGTTGACTTCGGGTTCGTCCCTGAGTGTATCACAGAGCTCATGCAAGGTTCGGAGATTGATCCCCGCAGGATAAGATAGCTGACGATACTGGGAATTCCGATGTTCAAGACGATATGAGTCGGAGAACATTGACATCAGGTCAGCCTCTGGATTCCTTTCCAGTTCTGCCTGAAATGCAAGTATAAGATCTCTGTTCCACTGTGCCGCGTCCGCGTTGGAGAGGGAAAGAGCTTCTTGAAGTGGAGTATCGCCCATAGTTGATGTCGTTGATTGAGACAAGCCAGTATACCTAAAGATATTTTCTAGAATGACTTGAGTGGCTAAGAGGGCGGGCTCAAGGGAGATAGAGAGGATCGAGTCCCGTGATGGTGGGACTCGACTAGGCTGGAATGAGCTGCCCAGGTGTGCTTCACGTGACCATTGTTGTCTTGCCCACAAATGGTCTAAGCTCCTGGGTAGGCTGCGGCATATCGTACGATAACGATTATGACCCGTTATCGTTATCCGCAAATTGCGGATTGCGGATAATGGATCATTATCATCATCGTCGTTGCAGATATCCGCGGATATCTTAACGATAGTTTGGATATCAGCAAACTATCCGCACTAGCATAAAATTCGCTAATATATCCTAGACCTTATGCGCCGCCGAGTCAGGGGCTGACTCCAGGTTGAGGTTATTCCTTAACTATGGCTGGAAATGTGGGTCGGACCCCGACTTTAATCGCCCAACTCTAGGTTCTCCTTCACGGCCGATCGGTCTAAAAATTAATATGTTATAATACACTATCTAGTGTATCACCCATTTCAATTTCCAAGTCTCGCTTCAGAGCTGCGCATTCAGATACGGCACCACGCCCTTCCCGACATTATCGCACCAATCTTACGGCCTTATCAGAAAGGCTACTGGCGGCCACGACGCCTCTCCTAGACGCAGGAAGAAAATCCCTAGAGCATTAATATCCCGGTTACCTCTATCACTTTCTTGGGACCCCCTCACCCCCTGGCAGACGCGACACGGTGTTAAAAGCGTGCCTAACTTCTCTCAATTCCCTTCGCATTTCCTTTAACAGCGAATCGTGGACAACTGTGTCGGGCCCGCCGCACACAAGATGGTCACCGTCACGCAAGAAAAAAACACTTGGCGTAGGGGATAACCGATTGCGGCCTATACGTAATTGCGTCAGCGAGCACGCTCGATACTGGAGCAGCAGAAGCACCAACGTGAATTGTGACGGGCTAGTCGACTAGGTCAGAGGTGAAGAATACGAAGGGAATATGGGAGAGCGGCTACATTGCCTGTGATGATACGTATTGTGTATTGTTATTGCTAGGATGGCCCAGATCAGGATCTGCCGAATCCACAATCAACGATCTTGTGGCCGCTATGAACCAGAAACAAACAGAATGTGAGAAACTAATTTTGGAATATCCTTTTTCATGGCGAGGGTATAGTTCCGCGAAACTACACATGGCAAATTGTGGACTGGTTAGAAAAGGCTGGAGATGTTGAAATTCAGTTTGCACCCATCTAGCCTGGGGTATTGTGAAATCGCTGATGGAGGTAGGCATTAAGGTTCTGATATTACGGTTGAATTGTGTACGCTAACCAGCTTATAGATTCCTGTAGCCTCAGGAGAGCAAATGTGTGCACTCCTTGGTACTAGTGAAAGGGTCGTACGTATTATCACTCATGGGCAGGTATATGAACAAGTGTACCTGCCACAGGCTCCTGGTTTATCTTTGAGCACGCTGCAAAAAATGTCGAGTCTGGTTTCTTGAAGATATTACAGCACTGCACTAGAGCTGCTCGCGGATTATGGAACACTGTTCTCGGAAAGTACTGCGAGGCGCACTCTCAAGGCTATCGTGAACCCAAGCAAAGCGCTTGGAGCCCTTGCGGGAACTGCAGAGCAGGAAGACGAACTTTTTCGCGATTTTCAAGCCTGTGAAAGTGACCGCAGCTTGAAGTCTGATAACCGTATGGTTGGGATGTTGGAGACTTTTAACGATCCAATTTTTCGATTGATCAAAGTGTCAAATCTGTTCTCGAGAAAATTGAGGAATTGGATCGTATCATGGTCTTGGAATGGATTTCCTCTGTTCCATTTGGCAAAAACCACAACAATATCAGGGAGAGAAGAGCCGCCGGCACAGGTCAATAGCTGTTGCAGCACGCTGGTTACCGGTGCCGCCAAAACGAAAAGTCTTCGGCACTCATCTGGCTCCAAGGCTATACTGGAACCGGCAAGGGGTATCTTACACCGAGTGCTGATGACCGGATTCGGAGTTCGCTCACGGGCGCTATTAACGACGAGGGGTTTGCAATTTATACTGCGATCGCAACGGGTCAGGACGTACCCGCCCAGATTCCATCCTCCAGAGTTTCGTGAGTTTCGTACGGCAACTCCCAACCTCTACGCAAAAGCCTCAGCATATCCAATCAGACCGCTGAGAATGCAAGTCAGCCCCCGACTGGGGCGGCGCATAGTGTCTAGGGTTCATCCATGAGGGCAGTGACGCGGTCCGCGAGATTATCAAGGCCACGCGTAAGATGAACAACTATTTTGTACTGCAAGGCGGAATGATGATCAACCGACAGGTTACGATAGCTGAGCGCTATGACTCTGAGTTCCTTGCGAAGGGGCCGCACAGCTAAAGCAGAAGGGCCGATTGGACTACCATTGCTGGCATGACTCATAATCGCGACCAAAATCATTGCTCAGTCCACTATCACAGATATCATTAGACATCATTTGTGGACAAAATGCATGGCCAGTCCAATGGCTATCAAATAGGTTTGTGTAAGAAATCATCTGCTAAATTTAACCCGCGGTACTTGATGTGATCTTTATATTTATACACCATTCGCTATGAAGATTACGCGACCCTTATCAAATTTCCAAAATTAGCTTTTTCTCGCGCAGCTGTGCGCCATTATTATGACAAATCTGCGGATCGACCGTAATCGGTGTGCCATTTCCAGGGCCAAAGGTAGTACAGACTTATGGTATCGTTAATTAGCCATACTGTACATGATCCATTCTGACCGAAATGCATGACTTGCGCTGCGGAATGAATTTGGGGTTCTCCAATGAGAATAACGTCAAGAACAATTTTCCGATTTCGACCAATTACCAGTATTCTACGATCGTCTGCGATTACTGCTTTCTTTTATCCTTGAGCGGACTGCCGCCGGAATGTACTTGCCTTGTGTTACGTGGTCTCTGGATAGAAGATACCAATTTTAGATAATTTCAGGTTCTGGAAATGCGAAAATGCCCATGATTTTTAACAACACTGCCAAAATTAAATTCATGCAATGCATAAATGATGTATGATGAACAGAATATATAAACACTGATTCAAAGCTCAAAATCCTTTGGTATTTGCATTTTAATAAGCTTCCATCTTCTGGCCAACTCCATGAAAGTCGCTGACATATTTTTCGAAGGAGAGACACAGCATCGACATGAAGCGTTCCAGTTCCTTTACAGGTTTAGTAAAGCTTCTCTAGTTACGTTGAGTGAAGTTTGCTCTGACCACGCCGACATTCAAGGATCCTGGACCGCCTTCATTGGCGTGGAGAAAACCACTGCAAAGACGGCTTATAAAATCTTTGTTTCTGCCCTGCACGTGGCTGGACCGCATTCATCGGCATTCCAAATTTCCATTCAAGAATTATTACACTCTGCAGGAAAATCAGCGGGCCTTAAAAAGAAAGAAATATATGAAGGGGTTAAAACTTCCAAAGGAGACCACGAAACCCATCTTGATGATTATAATGTCGGGATCAACAAACTTTTCAGTCAATGCAGTAACATCACAGAAGTATTCTACAAACGGAGTGATCTATCACACAGGCTGCTAACGGATGGTGGCGACATGGGAATCCTCTTTGACGAGGGCAAGGAGGTGGTATTAGAACTCCTGGATAAAAAGCGTTCAAAGCCCTCAAATTCCGTCTTGCGCAAAATCCTTAAGTGTTAGCCGGGCTTATGGGTTGGAAAGCCCCGAAGTTACGGCTTCTATAGCTTCCCCTGATATTCACTGATAGTTTATAGAGCAATCAATCTATTTCTAAATGGACAAGTTATCAGCTAGCAACTACATAGAGAACCAATTATGCACTGTACTTACCTTTGCAACATACGGTGGGAGACAACTGCGATGTTCAGAGTTATTGTTGTTTGTCAAGAAAAAGACTGGCCTGGAAAGCAGCCATTGACACAAATGGTATCTCAGCCACGCTGATGTGTGCCTTCGTTCTATAAGAGGCATGGGCTCAGCATGCTCCCAAGAACCACCCGAACATCCGGATCACAAGCTGTGTCATAGCGGAGAAGGACTTGGAAGATACTTCGAAGTTGACCCAATAGCGTAACGAAATGCAGCTTGAAATCCTATGGACCACTAACGCCAGATCTCTGAGGATTGTGCAGTAGGCTTTAAAGAGACCTGCCTATGGACCGAGACTAGGCATTTGAAGACCGGCGCCTATGGATGTTGTTGCTGGTTCTTGGAGGTCGAGCGAAAAAAAAGCAACTGACTGTTGACAGTTTTGCCAATCTGTGTCTGTTCAATCCGCTGACAATATGTTCTAATCTGTGACATTAGGATCTCAAGAAATTTGAGCGGACTCTGACTGGAGCCCGCTCTTCTTCGTTCCCTGAAAATGTCGCTTGATGAATCCACCCGCGGCAATAACTAGACCGGATGGCGTTCTAACAGATGCCTCTCCCAACAACCTCAAAGGGTGCGGTTCAACACGCACACGATAGCGGGATCCTCGACAACCAGATCCAAATGGTCAGGAGATGGACTTGGGGGGCATTTCAGGTTTGTTTTACGACAAACGTGTCAGTTTCGTACATGGCTAATCACCAGTTCCGGACAGGCTCGCTGGCTCTGCTTTCTCTACTGTTGCCGCCACCGTCCCCTCCACCATCCTAGTTTGGCCCGGGTCATTTGGGCCCTGACGCTGCGATTTAATGCATTTCCGCGTAAGATCGTAGCGACAGAGGACCGGTTACGGCCAACCTATACTCTTCTTCTTCCTCTCAACTGCGCGAGGTCATCAAGAAGAACATTCCTTGTATATGCTGAATATGAGTTTTCTAATGATGCTTGAATCATTCCCTCCATACCTATTAATTGATCCTATTGGATCACCTGTGGTTATTCCGGAATGCCATCATGAACTTGCTGTAGACGCAGTCTGCATTCCTTGGTAAAATTCCACAAAGCCTGAACGAGACCATAGGGGGTACTACATACAGTTTATCTTGTCCGGATGTCAGTTCCAAGGGGTGGCCTGTCACATCCCAAATAACTTAGAGGCCTCGTCTGCCCGATTTATATGAGAGTTAACATTGCTAGATGATAAGTGACAAATATCTAATACAACTCAACCAGTGAAGCCATTAAAGCCAAAGAATGAACATTTTTATTTTTGATTGGCCAGCTCGCACAGGGTCGTATTCGGAACAACCACATATAGACAGAAACAGGTTATTGGAATGTGTCGGATTGACAGATACTGGCATGTGCTAGTATTGAGGTGTTCCATTGAGATGCATTGATGTTGTTCTATCTGGATCTTGCTGTTGAAGCGTTATCAGATCTCAGGAGTCGTTCCTAGCGTGTTACGACGCTGGTATGCCGAGCGTACCCCGTTTACCATACAGAGACAGAGACAGAATGGGTACTTGATGAATAACCCTGTCCTTAGTGGTAAAATACCACCCCTCAGTTCGACACTATTCAAGTGTTCCAACACATCTTGATCGAAGTGCCGTCCACTATTATTGCATTGCAGATACCGCCATCACCCAGCATTCCAAAGTCCCACTGGCTTAGAGTCATGCCGAGCACAATTGGTTTCAGGATGACCCCTCGAAACATCGAATCCATCTTAGAAAGTGAAAATTCGAAGGCAAGGCTACTATAAAATGCAAGAATCATTTTCACACAGATTCGAGAAGTATTACATATTCCGACACAATAGGGTCAAATTCTAAAACGTGAGACCTATTTTGGAAAGTGAAAGCAATGAGGAGCCCAAGCGAGCCACAATCCCCTATTATGTAAACAAGTTACTATATCGAGTAGGATAACCGGGTGTCGCAGCACTTAGCTGTTCATTGGTCCAAAACGGATGTCGGCATGCCTGTAAATATATGTAACTAATAGATCGATCATCTAACTTAGCAGAGCGGCCGATTCGAGGTAGCGACTTGAACGTATGATGCTCTTGGTAGCGCTTAAGCGTATTGTAGATAGTCTTGCGTGTACAGCTGAAATCGGCAGCAAGCTTAGACTACCCCTACCTGATTGGCGTACGCAATAGCTGACCTTTGCTCATTACCTAGCTTAGCCAATTTACTACGTTTTGAGCTAGATTCCATTGGAATCTAGCAGTAGGTGAGGTGTGGGAAGAAGAAGAAAAATTGAGTTTTCTTTGTTAGGGTGTTGAAGTGGGGCGGTGGGTAGATACTTTTCGTCTATATCTGTAAAATGAAAATGAGTTCATATTCGAGAGGTTGTGCTATGGTGTGCTATGGTTGCGTTATGGTTGCGCTATGGTTGCGCTATGATTGTGTTATGGTTGTGTTATGGTTGCGTTATGGTTGTGCTATGGTGTGCTATGGTTGCGTTATGGTTGTGCTATGATTGTGTTATGGTTGTGTTATGGTTGTGTTATGATTGTGTTATGGTTGCGTTATGGTTGTGTTATGATTGTGTTATGATTGTGTTATGGTTGTGCTATGATTGTGTTATGGTTGTGTTATGGTTGTGTTATGGTTGTGCTATGGTTGTGTTATGGTTGTGTTATGATTGTGTTATGGTTGCGTTATGGTTGTGTTATGATTGTGTTATGATTGTGTTATGGTTGTGCTATGATTGTGTTATGATTGCGTTATGGTTGTGTTATGATTGTGTTATGATTGTGTTATGGTTGTGCTATGGTTGTGTTATGGTTGTGTTATGATTGTGTTATGGTTGCGTTATGGTTGTGTTATGATTGTGTTATGATTGTGTTATGGTTGTGCTATGATTGTGTTATGGTTGTGTTATGGTTGTGTTATGGTTGTGCTATGGTTGTGTTATGGTTGTGTTATGGTTGTGCTATGATTGTGTTATGGTTGTGTTATGGTTGTGTTATGATTGCGTTATGGTTGTGCTATGATTGTGTTATGGTTGTGTTATGGTTGTGTTATGGTTGTGTTATGGTTGTGCTATGATTGTGTTATGATTGTGTTATGATTGTGCTACCATTGTTCGCTGTCGGACGAAGTAGCTTCCCATATTGAACACGGGAAATAAGGATTTTCAAAAGGCGTCCCGCAAACTAATTAGCTTGTTGAATTCAGCTTTCCCGTTCACGATTATAAACGCTAGCATGACCAATTGATGTCCAGACTGGCAATGAAATATAAATGCTCGTCAACATTGTTGACTCAACAAAGATCTACCTCATTTCATTTTGCCTTCCGTTGGGATGTTACGCGTCAATTTCGCTCTATTTTACCTCTCCAGAATACCCGAAGACTTAAAGCTGTTCCCATCAACGTTTATGGGAGTACTATGTAAGATCCTTTTTCAAAGCCAAATCCCGGAGAGGCGCACTGCTCTTGTCCAGATGGAACCGCAGCTGTCATCTCATTACCTATATACGAGTACTTTCCCACCCATTCTATATTTGATGCGCAATATCTATAACTCATTATGTTAAGGCAATGCCCGTCATCAGGGATATCATCACGAACCGTACCCAGGGACGAATCACGCCCAATTATGGGAGTCGACTGGAAGTCGACTGGATTTTGGTCTTCTCCATTACTCAATCCGTCTGGATTTCCCAATATGCCTGCTGGTCGAAAGAGTCATGTGATTTGGCGGTATGTGGAAGCGATGCAGGCAGAAGATGACACATATTATCTCAAAGCTCGACTTGCAGATATAATGCTAGATTTGGAGTACGTCAAGAAAGTCAACAGACAGAAAAAGCCGGGCATTCTAGCCAGACAGCGAAACTCCGAGCCATGAATGTTATTTGCTGCACAGAAGAATGAACCCACGGCCTAGGTAGCATCCAGATCCCCAGCATCGTTCCCCAACGAATTTGTGCTCATGGAAATACATTCTGGTCTTGTCCGCTTTTGCTTTGGGAAAAGACCCAGTACAGCAAATAACATTCATGGCTCGGAGTTTCGCAGTCTGGCTAGAATGCCCGGCTTTTTCTGTCTGCTGACTTCCTTGACGTACTCCAAACACAGCACTATATCTGCAACCACTTAAGCAAAGCAAAACCTGGGAATCCATTAACCCACCAAAGCAGGGCCGAAACCTGAGTGGGAAATGTTTTTTCAATCTCAAAAGAGGATCCGGCGGAAAGATCGCCCGCAACAGGTGTAGATGGGTAGTCAGAGGTTTCATTCAGGAAGGTGTCGATTATGCCGAAACATTCGCTTCGCTTCCGTGGTCAAACCAAGAAGTTACAAAGCCCTGTTGACAATTGCAGCTGCCCTAGATCTCGAGATTGAACAAATGGATGTCAACAGCGTTCTTGTACGGCGAGATGAACCACGAGATTTACGTCGAACAGCGCCACCACGCAACAGACGGCACATCGAGGGCCTACAAGCTTCGAAAGGCACTCTATGGACCCAGAAAAGCACCTCGTATCTGGTATCAGACTCTTACCAACTTCCTTCGGAACCTTGGCTTTGAGCCCATCAACACTGATCTCAGTATCTTTGTTCGAAGCAGTCTGTATATTGCAGTGTATGTTGATGACCTCTTGGTCATCAGGCCAAGCATTGCAGAGATCAAGAAGATCAAGCGGAGCCTCAGGAATCGTTTCCATATGACAGACTAGGCCCGTGCAGCTACTATCTCGGCATGGCCATCCGCAGTGTTCAGCGGAACAGAATCCTCTTTATCTCAGCCAAGAGGCTTACGTGCACAACCTCCAGCAATTTAGACTATCGCAAGGTACACCGGTCAGCACTCCTATGGAGACTTCACCTCTACCAGAAAGCGGACCCGAATACATCTGCCCGTCGAGTGTAAAGAACGAGTACCAGCATGTGGTCAGATCGCTGATGTATATCATGCTTGAGACTAGAGCCAATATTGCATATGCAGCCTCGGGGGCAAGCAGACATTGACAAACCCTGGTCCACAACATGTGAAGCTCGCCCGTCGAATCCTTCGGCACCTCAAAAGCCCCAAATCTCTCAGTCTCGCATATAAAGGCCAGCTCAAGATGCTCCGTGGCTTCACGGATGCAGATTGGGCTGGCTGTCACCAAGCAATACGGTCGACGGCTAAATATCTTATCAACATTGGAAGTGGAGCAATCAGCTGGCAATCAAAGCGTCAAAACATTGTTACCCTGTCAACCTGCGAAGCAGATCATGGGCCAGAGGCAAGCAACCAAGGAAGCTATCTAGAATTTATTGGGTGATTCAATGTCGATGTACATTATTATTCCTACGCTTCCCACGAAGCAGCGTGCACCATGGATTGGAGACACGTCAGCATGAATACAGGCGGGTTTAACTGTGCGATAAATGGGATACAGTATTAAAAACAAAATTGTACTCTACATGTCCGGAGGATGCACTGCTATACTGGGACCTGAACAAAGCCATGTCGTATATGCCCTCTCATCCCGCACGGACCCGGATGAGTCTAATTAGAATAATTAGAATTTTAAACCAAGCTTATCTTATGCACCAATCCTATCTTACCACCGAGCTAACATGGCATTTTACCTTTGGCGAAGCTCTAGGTGAGGGGATGCTCGGCTTTTTACGCGCAGATGCTAACCCTATTGTCCGACATGGCGATCGCCGGACAAATCGAATTTGGAAGTAAAACTACTTAGTGAATTGGCTACCGATCCATCAGAAAAGCCCCCCTCATGGTCATTGGAACTATTGGCACCGTCGTAAATCGTGTTTTCCTTAGCAGTCATTATAACATGCTTTTGGAAGAATGATGAATGGTTAGACGTGGGTTTTAATGCCAATTTTCCTCTGCATAACCTGGCCTCTTGTTTCCAGGCGAATTTGGTGTCTTCAAGGCTCATAGGCCAATGGTTGTAACGGCAGAAATCGATCATGACGATAAGGGCCCGAAAACTGTGGCGGCCCTGTGGATGTTGACATCTCTGACATGTTTAATGGCCGCCGCCCCTGTCCTCATCCGGCTGAAGATGTTCAGGGGTTTTGGTATCGATGACTACTTCATTATTGACGTCATGGCGTTGGATTTTGTGGTGATGACGGCCTCGGTGAAGGCCGCCTTTGGGAAGCATATGGTAGTTGTTGAAGAGGTCATTTTGGTGATGGCCGTGCTGCTGAGCATATCAGTTTACTATGAGAGATCCTATGGTTTACCATCCAAAAGACAGCGGTGACGGCTACGCTCACAAGTCTTCCCAACCCTAGGCTCCAGCAAAATATATGGCTTTGGTCCTTGGTTGGAACAGTTGGTGCTGTTTCTTGTATTTGTATCATGGTTTTGTTCACTATGGTAAGAAAATACATCCCTTTGCCTACTTTGATAGAATGTAATGAATAGAAAATCTGAATAAAATTCGTCTCTAGTGTGGCCCTCGCCGGGCCTTATAATGCGAGTGTGTTGTAATTCAGAGGTATGAATTGACTTTTTTTATTTCAGAGGGATACATGAGCCTATATATACAACAATTAGGCCAAGTTGATTGGAAATCAACTTGGTCGTCTGTATAGACACTTCGGAGCTAATTCCGACGGTGCGGCTTGGTTCCTGATCTGCACCAGCCTCATATCATAACAGAGTGGAAGCAGTTCGACAGCGTCGTTGTGTGGGTTTGGGCGGCCCCCGATTCTCCCAGATTCATGAATAAAAGCCAACGGCCACATTGGTTCGTGATTGGTCAGCGGGATTCGGAGGGCTGCATCGAAGGGGCTGACTGTTGCGGCTTTTTATTACCTTAGTGGGGATATTGGTATACACTGAAAATTGATGGTGCAATCCGGTTTCGGTTCCATCACCATGGTGCCGTGATGAGTGGTGGCAGTGGCTGAACGCCCCTAGACCGTGACTTAATCGCCTTATGCTTTTGAGGTGGTGGGAAAAATGCCTGCCATGCCCGCCTTTAGGAATATAGAAAATCAAAGCTTCGATTAGGACGTAAAAACACTATATATGTGCTTCGGTCAGTGCTAGCAAATGTAGTCGAAAAATTAAGCACAGGAAGTTTGCGACAATGAGGAGACAGGAAGTATCGCGAGAAAATCCCGTTCGGGCAAACGGGGCGGCCAGTAAGACAGACACGTTCTTCACGACTACTGCGGTCTTTTTTCCAGATTTCAGCCCCTTTTCAGGGTAGTTTCAATACAAAATGACGTCAAAGAAGGTATTTCGGGCGCATCTGTCTTTGACAGATCCCTTCGATAAATCTGTACCAAAATGAACCAACCTCCTTTGGCATTTGCTGCTTCTCATCGGGAGCTGGTATAGCATTGGTTTTTGGATAAGATATTCATTCATCACTCATAATGGTGGACCAGATGTTCCGAATTCGGAGAGCTCATAAATGGAATTTCCATCCGATTCAGTGAGATTAAAGCCTCTTCGGCCTAGATGAATACTACATCTCAAGTCTCCTTCGAGTCTTTCACTCTTTAGACACGCCATTGCTCCAATTAAAATGACCAAGCAACGTCGTTGCGTTACCAAAACTAATGCCGAGCACCTCACTCCGGCGTTGCTAGCCAAAATGGATGATACAGCGATAGACTTGGTGATTGACGAAATGAAGCTTCCAGAAGTGACTTTTCCGGCAATTACACGCAAAAGTACCTTAAAATACCATCCACTCCGGTGCGTCAACAGGGTAGATATATTAAAGATTCTCGACAATAGGGAACCATTCAATATCGAGGAAGCTCAGCAGAAAATATTACAAATGCCTTGCTTGAAGGAACTTAAAGTGTTCGACGAGAGACCTAGTTCACAATCAAAGTGGTTCAGCAGACAGCTTCGGAGCTATCTTCAAATCTATGATCCCAGTTGTCCTTTCAGGATTGCCGAGTCTGAACGTCTCTCAGGCATAGAACGAGAGGCTGCCGTTTTCGCAAAACGCTTGTTCCATAAGGGGGAAACTATCCAATTCCTCAGCGGGGTCTGTGTACCACTGACGAACAATGAAGAGCTGCAGCTAGAAACATCTGACAAAGACTTCAGTATCCTTCAATCCTCTCGGTATCAAGCAGTGGCGATGTTTCTAGGCCCTGGTCGGTTCGTGAACCATGACTGTGAGGCAAATTCTGAAATAGTGTGGGCCGAGAAGTCAAGGGCACATATCGTGGCAGTGAAAGAAATTCACGAAGGCGATGAGATTACGGTTTTTTATGGAGCTCATTATTTTGGGGAAAATAATCAAGAGTGCTTATGTCGGTATTGCTCTAGACGCATTGCAGGTAACACAAGCGTTACTTAAATTATAACAACCGGAATTCTGTTTTATAACGTTACATCATCATCACATGGGCCAAGTTCGTAGTGAATTGCCAGCCCTATTGGGTTTAAGTCAGCTAAAAAAAAAGAAACCAAAAAAAAGAGAGTTCTCGCAATAAGTACTGCTTCCCCGACAAATATTTGCTATGGATTAGTAGGTAAAGCTTTGGCCTACACGGGATGCCGTATATGAAATGGTAGAAGGTGGGAATCCAGGCCTTGAATCCTTCGTTTCGCGGAAGCTCAAACTTAAAGTGGCTACCCAGAAAAAATTGAGTATTTGATGAAGCCTAGTCTCGACCTTCATTCGAAACAGAAGCAGTTCTTTACATGTACTGTACAGTTTACGAGCAGTATGAAGGCCTGTTTGTAGAGCTCCAAAATTATGTGTATCTATTCACCTATGGCTTGAAAAAGACCTTATAACTAGTCACGCGTCCAGATGAAATGCCGGAAATATTGCAGCTCAAAATTGAAGACCTTGGCACTTGTAGAAATCCTGTCACAAATCATATATGGATAGCATCCGATGTGGCGGTGAGTTGCGCAAGCAGTAAGTGCGTCACTGGCGAGGCCTTACGCGAACTGCTAGCTGGGGACCTAGCAAGGAACGTAAGGGTTACGGGTTCGAATCCTGCCACCGTCACAACTCTTACCCTGAGGCACGTACCGAAGAAAGCCTACGCTCTGGTTGACTTAGCTAGGACCTGGTTGGTAGACCCGGGGTAGGGGTAGCTTACAATGGACGCATAAATGGCGGGTGGGGAAAATTGTCGCCTACCTAAGCCTTTCAGCTCACCTATAAGTACTAGCCGTTAAACTCGGGCCGCTAGGAAAAGGATATCCCCTTTGTGGTAGCTAGCTTGGTGTAACAGTTCGGTACGTAACAAAGTACAATCCGAGTTCCGGGGGCGCCCTGGATGGTCACTGAAACGAAAATACAACATACTGAACAATCGGTCACTCGGTCGCTTTAAAGCACTAGGACTATTCCCTCATTACTAGAGCTGATCTTCTGGCGTTAGGGAAAGGTTTCTTGTGGTGTAAATCCGAGTGCACCGACTTGCATAGCATCGCACTACACTTACGCTAGCTCCAACAAGTATAAGAAATATCATCATCATAGAGGGGTGGTGATTTATGGAATTTCGGGACTGACCAATAATAATAAGATTGATGTTACTGCATGACCCGAGAAACAATGACGAATACGCCGAAGGCTCCCTTATCATCGCTTTATCTCTGCCTGGGCTCGGTGCGAGTTCAAATCTCAACACCGTGATCAGGAGAAAGAGGAACGGTTTGGCTTACGCTTATTAGCATGATGAACAGCGCATAGACATGCAAATCAAAAACAGATTTGTTCTTTGACATTTTGGAGCGGATTACTTGGCGGGAAACTCGTATATGATCCGGCATTATACAACGAAAAGCTCAAGGGGCATTAAGAACTACTCGAATTTGCCAGCATATACTATATAGTTTACATGAGAGTGCTAATGGACATAGTATTTACAACCAACCGATATCTCACCGGGTATCTCACTGACGGGCAGTGCAGTCGAGCTTGAAGATTGACGTCCGCTGCTTGAAATAATGATCGTGTCTATTCATTCCAATGAACTTTATTACACAACTTAGGTGGAACATTAAGCTGGTGCTAGTTCGGCAATTAAGAATACGTTTCTGTACCTGCAGGACAGAGTAGACCTCGGGCGGAATGGGATTTTTGAAGCGGTGGCCCGACACAGAATAACATGGAGAGCCTCAGAATTAATCCTCACTGCCAAAGCTTCCCAGGGCGGAGGGGGGGCAGGTTGCTCAGAAACATCCGTTGTCAAGTGTGTTCGCTGAAATATTACTTCACGAAACCTCATGGCTGGTATGGATGTGGAAATGATTTAAACATTCGGTTCTTCCAACTTCCTCCTACTTCCATCAGATCAGAACAATGTTACCTTTGATCTATAAGTTATTATACAGTAGCAACATGAGGTAGATTCTTCTTTGGTTCTACGAAGACTTTGTTTTTCTCTTTTTACAGTGGAATGTATTTTGTTTGGTAAAGGACCACTTTCATGTGAAAATTGAAATCACTTTCTCCATTTCTCTGTACCGCAAGCATAGCACAAATTTGCCAGAAAAGAATAGTGCCTGGCATTTCACTGGTCATCTCTGTTCCTATAACGGTGGTGTCACATGGTATGTAGAATAATATACTACCTTCCACCAGCCAACCTCATTATGCAGAATTGGGTCTTCAGTGATATCAACCTATTGGTTGAGAACATTAGTTTACAGGACCTCGTGAAAAATTAGAGTCCTTGGTACGTAGTCAAAACTTATGTTGTCCCTTGTTCTGATCTTAGGGCGTCTCATCAGAGATCGTACGATTTGTACTCGCTTCTCTCTCTTAGACCCGCCGACGTGAGTATCAGAGTAAGCAATCTTGTCGTGGAACTTGGTGCGGCAGATGTTCAAATTTCAATATGGCCCAACGTTGCAACGCACCTTCAATGGGGCTGATCTTATGTCCCAATCCGTAGTATGTCTAGCGAGAGGTAAATCGAGGCATTGTTAAATGTACCAATAAATGATAATCTTCACATGTGTATTCGTAGTTAAAATATCTTGTCTGTCACGTGTTGCCTGTATGGAGACTGAAGTGAGTGGACGGTCGGTACCCTGTGACATACATGGAACACCCAAGATGGTACTGTACGTAAGTTATATCTTCTGTTTATAAGCAAACAAAAGCGATCTTTCTGAAATAGCCAGTGAGCGCAGCTAGCTCCAGATATGAACTCGTGCTTTATAAATGATATGGGTGATTAATAAATGCACAATTCTACATTTGCGGGAGGCTTGCGCTTATAAATTCAACAGCCCTCGAAGCTTTTAAAACCACAGAGGGCTAAGAATCCCCTACTCGCAGAAAGCTGCCTAGGGTTCCTAAACCTTGGAACCCATTTTCTTTAGAATGACCTTTGTCGCAACCCTTCTGATGGTAAGCCTGAATGTCCTCAGCGTGAGTCGCGTTGGAGGAGAGGCTATCAGCAAGCGAGGCGCTGCCTACAATGATATATCAAATGTGTCACCACTGTCCGAAGCTGGCACGGTTTCTTGGGCTTACAATTGGGCCGTGACAGAGCCGAAAGAACTTCCCCCTGGAGTTGAGTTCGTCCCCATGCTTTGGGGCACCGCTAACTTTGATGGATGGCAAGCATCTTTAGAGAGTACCCTCTCCAGCGGCAGTAATTACATACTGGGATTCAATGAGCCTGACATGTCATCCCAAGCGAGTCTAAGCCCGTCCGTGGCTGCCAAATACTATAGAGAGTACATCACACCCTTTCAGAGTAAAGCCAAGCTCGTTAGCCCTGCAGTGACTTCCTCAACTTCTCCTGATATGGGCCTTGGATGGCTAGGCGAGTTTATGGGAGCCTGCTCCTCCTGTAGCATTTCTGGCGTAGCCGTTCATTGGTACGGTGATTCAGCGGACAGTTTCAAAGGTTTCATATATGAAGTTATCACATTCGCTCGGTCGTATGGGTTATCCGAAGTCTGGATTACCGAATTTGGACTTGAAGCTGACATCAACGGTGTGACAGACGATAAAGCTACTGAGACCTTTATCCACGTCGTCACGCCCTGGCTTGACTCACAGTCTCTTGTGGCTCGATACTCTTACTTTATGTGCGCTGAGGGATACCTTCTCTCTGGTGGGGCTCTCAATGCGGCTGGTAAAGCGTACATTTCTTCGCCTGGTTCTTCTGATTCAATTAGTTTCACTAGCTCTTCGGTCTCCTGTAATGGGGCTGCGTAATGTGGAAGTCTAGTAGAAGTGCCGTAGCCGGACATTCAATGCTACAATAACTGCAATCATAGACTAGTAAGACCTATGACATATTACGAGACCTTGCCGCTCTTCCTGACCTTGAATCATTACTGTACGATAGTCTGAGGAAAGATACTCCATATATCTTAGAATCTTTTACATGCCGCCTAGAAATACTGCTTGGTGAATTACGAGAGAAGGGCCTCTCGTATAAGCCTAGCCTGTTCCAGTGAGTTTTTGTTGGATAACCCGCGATTAATTCCGAGTATAATCGTAAACCGCGACGCTGAATGGTTCTTTTAAAGTTTAGTAGCTTACGAGCTTCGACAAAATGCTTGGAAAACGACCTGGACTATTCATTATGGTCTGCGTGACGTAAGTCTTTCCACGGGCAACTCATCTTTGGATCCCATACTCTGGTGACCAAAACAATCACAGTATATTTTCGTAATGCTCTCGGTGTTTGGGTATAGACGAAGGCGTCTTGACTTGTTTACGCCGCGCGCCGACGGACGGGGATTAGGCCATACCATCGGCCGGTACCGCGTTCTCCCCCTCACAGTGAAAGAGTTCGATCAAGAACATTCTGCACAGGTAGTATTGTCGGATTTGAAGTCCGATTTTCTACAGCTCTAAAAGCGTGGGGATCCTGCGACCGGGTTATTACGCGTGCGATTCAGGGAGTTGGCTCTTCTCCTTCATTTTTAGTGCCTGTCCACTACATCTCTTCGCTAGGATACTTTTATTGAAACAGGGTCGGGCTGGCTTTACAATTTGTTTAATATTATTTTTGTTTTGTTTCTTTTTACTGAAAGCGAGGGTTGGAAGAAAAAAATACGTATCAAATTTCTAAGCTTTCCGTCAACCTTAAGAGTCATAGAGGGCATGTTCTATTGTAGGGTAGTCTCAAATCCGAGCCATTTGTGAACAAGCTATAATAGCCAATTATAAGCCCACGTCGTGAAGTCTAATATTAGCAGTTCACCTTCACAAGCATTAACAAAAAATTATAAATACCCACGATGGTCTGTCCTCTCCTAGATAGAGCTTTACCGTGAGCCTTCTTCCAATGATGGTGGCAAAGCGATTTGAGGTTTATCAGGGCCCTGATAGCCCACTACATCCCTTGGGGACAGAGGCATATGGACCAGGATATATGCAGTCGCCACATACGGTCAAGGTATATTCACTCAAAGGAATACAGCCAAAAGGCTATAATCTCCAAGCCTTCAGACCTTTTTCAAATCAACTATGGCTTAGGGACTTGGGGCTGTTATCTTTAGCTTCTTCTCAGACTGGTTTATTTAGGGATCGGTTTGGGCTTTCATATGAATTAGATCCGTATCTCACACTCTACTCGCATGATGATACTGGTCCGTTTACTTTTCAATCACCACCCTGGCGAGCTTTCCTACTGCCGCAGGCAGCCTTCAGAGTGCAAATAGCAGCAACTCAGTACACCGGGTATGAATTTTGGAGCATATAGTAGTGACTTTATTGCCTTTCGCGCCGAAAAATATCAGGTTTATCTTACAAGCCCTAGTCACATGATCATAGACGTGAATATATTATGTGTACAGTATAGATTGTGATAGAATGAAATCGTCTCCGTGACGTTCACGAGATCATAAAAGCGTAATTCTTTACTAAGAATCGACCGCATCTATGAGACACAGAGTCGATACAAAAGCGGAGGAGAAAGAAGGCCCACATTTACCACAAACGAAGACCAGAAACGCTTTGTGGTATGTAATTACCACGCTATCCTTCACGAAGGGCATCGCCAAACGGAAGTAATCGATGTAGTAGCTAGACGCAGAGCAGGTGGCCTTTTTCCGCGGTATGCCTAACCATACTCTTTAGTATGTTACAGAATACGATAATGTCACATTGTGCCCTGGCTCTATGGAGATGGAGAAACATCTTCATGCGAACTTTTATGCCACCATTTTCGATGGACTCATCGCTTGTTACGAAACAAAATGCGTCCACGCAAAACCATAGCATTATACCAAGTATCGCTCTAAAAATTGAGCCTGGTACATTCAGATTTTTCATTTCAATGTATTCTCTGAAATGTGCCTGGACAGCTAAACTGTACTTGAGTCAAAGTCAACCACAAAACAACGGTGGACAGACAATGTCATGGGAAGGTCCCCCATAACTCTTCAAGGGGCAACGAGAGACACGGCGTCTAAGACTCCACTGCTGTCAAAGGTCGCCACTCAATATCCGGCTTGAAGCGGCCGGAACCTGACTTGCAAATTGATTAGCGAGCGTCATATCGTGCAAGCCGTAAAATCGACAGAAATGAGTATTCAGTACTGCCAGGCATTGTGCCCATATAATTCATGGCCACAGGGGAGCAAAATCAAAGGCTACGCATCCAATGGCGCCTGCTACAAAGCGGCTTGTTTCCTTTCTTTTGCAATCCAGCTTGTGCGTCATGCCGAAGAACAAACCTCGTATTATTCATCCTAGTAACCACAGCATCTTAAAATCTTTCGCTTTCTCCATGGCCTGTTCAGTTACAATCTTGGGCGGCAACATCCCATGCATACCTAAATAGCGGCTCATATATTCTAACGAAAAGCTCCATGGGAGCGAAGGCTTACAATAAGGCTGAAGTGAGCTACGTATAGACAGCGCCCATGACGGCAGCGAAAGCCGATGCCTCTTCGTGATCCAGCAAAGGCAAAGTGTAACTGACCGGGTAGATAAGAGGCATCGCATCGTTCAAAGTATGCCACCACAAAATTGTAGAAGGTTTTCTTGGGGGCATACGCAATGAGAAACTGCAAAAAAGGCTGTCAGGAGTTAAGGGCGCCATTTGAGGCGCATATTGCTGAAGCATTCCACAAGCATATGCAAGGATTTGGGCAACCTTGGAAACGCCGACCTCAGCTTTGTCCAATTTCAAGGCCAAGCTGGCGATTTAGTAACCATGGCCCGAGCAGACCGTAATGGTTAGGTAAGGCGACGTTAACTAATAGGTGACTATCACGAAGGAGACCACCAGGCCATAGTCCTCATGTGGTCGCACACGCAACATCCCTTCATTGGAAGTGCGCCTTATTAGGATCCTCTCTCTTATGTTATACAGCCTTTCGGCATATACGGTCAAATCATTCGTTGAAGGATGAGCCTTGTGTCAGCACTCATGAGGCGTTTCTCCGCTCAGTCCTTCCTCTTCTATCCTTCTATTTCTCTGGCAATGTCTCTGGCCAATGGAAGACAGGGGTACGCTGTTTCAAGCTCTCCAAGAAGACCCCCACACCGTTGTGTGCGGCTTGTTTTCTCACATGCTCTCATTCTGCGAGATCTCACCATGCATATGATTGGGCTTTTCTAGGGTCGGCTGAAGCCGCTTTTGAATATGAAGGGTGGCAAAAATGACAGTAAGCTGTAGCATTCTGTAGGGTAAGGAAAGAGTACGATAATAGATTTTGAGCTTTGGTAAATTTAGTCTGTGCCTCACTGTGAGTTTTGATCTAGCCTGCCGTCGGCCATAAAGGAAACATGGGACAGTCTAAAAAAGGACTGCCTATAGACTCACAATCGCCTATGAACCCATGTTTCCGCTCCCTGTAACACATATAATCACCAATTGAAGGTCCCTTTGGCCTCTTGTGTCTCCCTTTCAATGCCTTCACGTAAGATGCCGTCCGGGCTGTCCTCCGGCAATTCCACAAAAAGAACTCCCAACTTGCCAACGGATTCTTCTATCCTTCTGAAGCCTTCAAAGGCACATGGGAAGTTCCTCCATCTACTGGATTATTTACGACAGCCATTGCACCCTCTTGTTTTATGTACCACGGGCCAGACTCATGCGGACTTTCCACAGAATGTACTCTCGTATTGCCTTCTCACCTCAAATCAACTCAATAACCTCGCTTATCATTTTCACCAAATATGGCCACCCGTTGATGAGACATTCAATTATGTGGTCCAAGTTCCTATATGGCTCGATACTAGGGTTACAGCGCATAAAAGCCTCAAATCCAGACGATCTCATTTCGGTATGTTTATCGGCCTCTCTCGTGACTGGCTTTTCGAGAATGATCTGGAAATGAGCCTGGAAATCAAGCATATTCTTGGGGAAATTGAGAACTACTACTGTAAGCTGAAACATCAGGGAGGAGAACAGGGGCAGCCTTCATCGTCGAGCTGCTAGCTTGTGGATCCTCAATATATTTACATAAGAAAGTGCAAAACATATGTCAGGTTTTTATAATCTAGGGCAACGAGAAATATAGAACGCTTCTGGCAATATCGATATATCCACCATGCGCGTAATAACAAGCTAATTTTATGAGCGGATACATACCAGCTACGTCTCATATGAGTTAGTACATCGGATGCTATGATGATGATGATGATGATATTTCTTATACCTGTTGGAGCTAGCCTAAGCGTACGGCAATGCTATGCAGGTCGGTGCACTCGGATTTACACCACAAGAAACTTTTCCCTAACGCCAGAAGATCAGCTCTAGTAATGAGGGAATAGTCCTAGTGCTTTAAAGCGACCGAGTGACCGATTGTTCAGTATGTTGTATTTTCGTCTCAGTGACCATCCGGGGCGCCCCCCGGAACTCGGATTATACTTTGTTGTATCGTACCGGACTGTTATACCAAGCTAGCTACCACAAAGGGGACATTCTTTTCCTAGCGGCGCGAGTTTGTAAGCTAGTACTTATAGGTGAGCTGAAAGGCTAAGATAGGCAACAGTTTCCCCCACCCGCCGTTTATGCGTCCACAGTAAGCTACCCCTACCCCGGGTCTACCATCCAGGTCCTAGCTAAGTCAACCAGAGCGTAGGCTTTCTTCGGTACGTGCCTCAGGGTAAGGGTTGTGACGGTGACAGGATTTGAACCCGTAGCCCTTATGCTCCTTGCTAGGTACCCAGCCCAGCTAGCAGTTCGCGTAAAGCCTCGCCTGTGACGCACTTACTGCTTACGCCACTCACCGCCGCGCGTTTGGTGTCGA